ATACAGTGTCCCTACATATACCCGCTGGTCATGCATGTATCCGAGACAATGGATCCCTTGTACCTATGTGTTGCGGGCATCTGCCCGCTCTAGGGGCGGGGGAGTTCTGACGAATGGCGGGGATACCGCCGGGCGTACTCCTGACCACAGCAAGAGGCGGGTCCCAGGGACGCAATCGTACCCATTGGGCGGCAGGTTTGCAACCCGTACCCTAGCCTTCACTGGCCAAGGGTGGACAGGCGGCCACAACGCATAGGTACTGCGCCCTGCTACTCACCATTCCGCCACTAGTGTACCCTTGCACCCCTCCTTCCGGTCATCGCCTAGCACTTCCCCTTGCCCCGTTCGCCACCGCTACTTCCCCACCACACCCCCCTAGTTAGCTCGAGCCTTGTGCTCACCATGTACAGCCGAACACCCACTTCTTACTCACGTCGATAGTATTTGTAGTTTAAGGCCTACCATGAGGCGCGGCCTCGCAGGGCAATAAACGGGATCTAGAAAGAAAAGAAAGAATCCCATCTATGGTGTATTCTCCACCAAGAATTTTTTGTAAGCTATTGCGTTGAACTGTTGATAGCAAAAACTTAGTATGAGGAGACGTCCGAATACCAGCGATGACCAGTTGTTGAGTGACAACGCCCCGACTACGAGAACGCCTCGCGAGGGCGAGTCCAGACTCCGGAGTTTCTGCGTTTATGTCGAGTCCGTCGGCAACATGACTGTGCTGCGGACTCCTCGCTCACGCTCCGCAGTCAAGTCAATGTCAACACTCCAAGAGCATGCTTATTCTTGTCTAGACATGAATGCGGTGTAGGTACAACAACAGCCACGATGAATTATATAGACCACATAGATTCCATGCGCCCCGTCGGGACACACCCCACGCATACAGCGATTTCGTCGCTCGCCCTACCTGACGATCCACCCAACAGACCAAAATGAACGGAAGATTTGTTAGTGCACGATAGCACCGATACGCGCCCAGAACATCTCTTCCCGCAGTCGGACGATGTGCTTTGAGAGATCGGGCCAGTGGCGACAAAAAGCCCGGATTTGCGTGCCGTGCCGTCATCTGCGGCGGCGTTCTTCGCGTCTCCCTCTGCATGGGGAGCCTCTTGCTTGACGGGCGCTTCAACAACTGCTTCAGGATCTTGAGGTGCAGGCGCGGTTTCCTCCTGAGCGGGGACGTCCTTCGATTGCGCCACAGCAGAGGCTTCAGGGTGAGCAGTGTCCGCGGAGGCCTTAACGTCCCCATTTAGCTCCGGCGTATCGTCCTTTCCCTTCCCCTTTTCCTCTTCGGCAAAGGCGGCGGCGGTGGCGGAGCAGCAACAGCAGCGACTGGAGGAAGCGACCCCTTCTCCTTGAAGGGTGGCGGCACACGGTGCACCATAGCGTTCGCCGAGGGCTGTGATGTCGAATTCCTCGGCGAGTGCGAGACGGCAGGGTGAGTAGGGGGAGGCGGGGGCAGCGTCTTCCGCGATGGGTCTCTCGGCGGCAGCTTGGGTCTCTCCTTCGGGGGCTCAGATATCTTCGTGCTCACATTCTCTGTCGACTGCGACTTCGACACCGCAGGCGTCCCGCTCAAGCAGCGCTGCATCGAGCCCCACAGGCTACAGCGAGCCAAGCGCCGAACCCACCTTGGGCCGACGAGGGGAGGAGTCCCGCGTAGAGGAGCTGTTGTCATCGTTGACCGGATGACGGCTTCTTCTCGACGCCATTGACGCCTGGCTTGGGAATGCCGCGTGTCGGAGGGGGCATGGGGGCAAGGTGTACTCGGTGAGGAGTCGCTGGCCGAAGAGCATATCAACATCCCGCAGAGGGCGCAGACCACGGGGGTATGATGGTGGCTAGTGGGTATATTCGGCGGAGCCAGCTCCTCCAGAAGGGTCGTGAATTGTATAGGTTCAATCGTTTGTTGTCCACTGTGGATCGCCCCTATAGCAGAACGCCTTGACAACCAGTTCAGCGAGGGAGCGAGGTCCAACCGCACAGTTGGATCGCTTTGAAGGGATGTCAGTATCAGTGCAAGATAGATGGATGGATACTACGCACGAGTCCTCAGCGAGAATTCTTGCCAAGTACAGCAAAGAGGTGAAAATAGGCATGGCAGTAATGACGTTTCGCAGCTCACGGCGCTATGCACTAGCGCGATCTCTTGACACCCTAGCGTCTACTGCGATATCAGCGGAGGACCCCTCCTAACGTTCATGTTCGCTTGAGGCGTTCAGCGTTTGTGTGTTTGGATTCGGAAGACTGGGCCTTGCAGTGATCGGACGATGTCTTGGACTGGCAGTTTGATTCCGCTTGGTGCGCTATCGCAGACAGGATTATGACGTCGTCGGATGCCATGACCGATCCAACCAGGTTCTGGTTGCGGCGCGCGTGGTGAGGGCCCTGATTGTCCATGTCCTTCGAACCACTAGTGTAGGATGAGGATTGCTGAGACCAGGAAGAGTTGGGTTCAGAGCGCGGAGCTAGAGGAGGAGAGAAGTCTGACGAGCGAAGCGGAACCATAACGCAAATTAGCGGAGCTGTGATGTTCGGTATTAGCGCTGACATCATGGCCAGGATGCTGTACTTTGAGCAGCCAGGCGGATTCTAGGCACATACCGGACGTCACTTTGCTGTCAAGCAGACAGCGTATGGCCCTGTTCGAATGGCCCTTCCCGTGCCGTGCCGCGGTGAGGAGCAAAGATCCCGTACCCATCGGCTACAAGGATATTGACACGACGCGACCGATTAGACGAATTGGTCGTACGGCGGATTTAGAAGCGTAACACATACCATATCGCGCGCATTCTGAACCTGCTCTCTCTGCCTACGGAAGCTCTTGGGAATAACCTCGTCGTCCTGTCTCGAGCGTGATCCCATAGCTCTTGAAATTCGAGCTGCTCCCGTGTGCAGAAGCTCGTTGGGTGGTACGGCTCCTTCAACGTAGGTGCTCCCAGGAGTAAAGGTCCCACAGCGCGTACGCACTTGCTCATCTCGCTCGCCTCGTTGCCTCCCACCCTAGCCTCCTCCTTCCGTGCTGCCGTCCAAGGGGGCGCACCCCGGGCCTCCGTCGGCAGCGGATCTTCCTCCGCGTGCTTGACCCCATGCTTGGAAAAGCGGATGATCTCAGTTGTCTGTGCAGCTGGGAGTCGGAAGGGAAAGTTGCGGTATATGTCTATGAGGCGCCAAGGTGAGCGAGCCAAGAGAATCTGAAAGTGCGGCCTGATCCTGTGCGAGAAGAGGACAATGGATGCTGCGAGGCCTCTCATGAAGAACAGCGCAGAACGTTGGGGCCTTTGAGAAGAAGCAGGGCGCGCGGCGGTCGAGGGCATCTTTGGGTGGGATGTCTGTAGATGGGGGACAGGAGTGAGGGTCAAAAACGAGGCTCGGATTCGGCTCGAGAAACACATCGCGATTATTCGTGCGTCGTGGACGCCTTATGCGAAGAACAGGAAGATTGCAAAGACAAGGAGATACAACGTACATTCAGGACAATCTCCTGCCCCACGCTACTTGTATATTGCCCCTGCAAGCACCTGGTCGCGTCAGATGATGTGGGCGTTGCCATTCACGTGTCACTCGCGGACCCTTTGGAATCCAGTCGTAGGAGTCATGCTGGTGGGTGCGCTGGCGCGCGAGCTCGTTCATGGTGAGAATACAAGGGTTTGATGTTGTCTAAGCATGGATGGCTCGGCCGGTCGCGGAGGGGAGATGTAGAGCGGAGGAAGTTGGGACTTACAGTAAAGGCGAGTCCGCTCAGCTAGGAGGGACAGTGAGTAGAGTGGTACAAGTCAGAGTGTAACGACGCGATCAGTGACTTTATAGTGCAGCTCCTCTCAAGCCTCACGGTTAAGTACATAGCTCTGCGTCTTCCTCCTGCCCTCCCTCCCTTTGCCTCTACTCAATTGGTGGTTGTATGGCTATCATTTTACCGTGCCATGAATGCGTTGCGTTGCGATGCCCTCCCTTGTCCTGTCCGTCTTCTTGGCTCCTCACACCGCTTGCCCACAGTGCATCTGCCTCTTCACATTTCTAGCTGTGTCTAAGGTTCCCGCTACTAGAGTCCTTTCGCAGGCGATTTGAAACTGGTGGGGTAGTTCATTTGTCAGCGCTCCCAGTTCAGATCCAGATGGGTCCCTCGCACACCGCCTCGACCGCGAATGATAATCGTGCAATAGCGCGCTTGACAGTGTTGCCACTGCGCCAACAGTTCAGAGATTGGGCAGATCCAATCCGGTTTTGAATCGGTTGCGAAAGGACTCTAATAGAGAGTTTCAGCGGCCAGCATCGACCAGGTGGCGCCGCCCCACAGCGTAACGGGCGCTCAGATCTGGGTGGAGGCGTTACGGGCTCTGAGGGATCCTCCCCGCCAAATGCCTCGTAGAACACTCATTATGCCAGAGTGACCCAGATCCGTCACATCAGTTCACTGCCCCACCGCGCCACAGGTCGAGCGAAATAGCGGGCTGCTGAAACTCTATAATGGGAAGGGCAGACGAAAGGAAGTGCGACGAGGAAGACAAGAGCATTGCGATGGCACAGAGGTAAATCTAGCCAGGCGCTTACCATCAGCGCCTTTTCTCTTTTGATACACACAGCAGCCTCACTACTTATGGGTGCGCTGACCATCCTCAGTGACGATAACTCTGGCACCGCCTAGGCCAACCTCGACAAGCCCAGTCCTGGCACATGCGCGAACTGCATCTTTGCAGTGCCATCCAACAGAATGTGGGCTGAGACAGCCAACTACTGGTATTTGAAAACCACGACGCACCTGACGACAGCGACATGCTCTGCCTTGGGGCTGCTTCAGAACAAACCGGGACTGTACGATATCCGGCTGTACCATATGTACGTGACTAGTCCGTGCTCTCTCTTTGCTAACCGGGACCACGGCCAGAACGAGTCTCCACGACCGCTGACTCGATCCTCTGCTACGATGACACGCTCCAGCATCCCGAGTATGTATATCCTCTTCTAGGGCGGGTTGCTGCTCGACAATGTGTGCGACAACAGCGCAGACCAGTGGGCGTTCGTGGACGGACGAGGTCGTGCTCTGTCGCCATCTAATAAGCAGGTACCCCCCGGAACCACCAGCCACACAACGACCTCGGCTGTGGGGACTTCGTGCTCGACGCGCTCGGAACTCACTGGGCAGGCGAGCTTGGGTCTGGGGACTACCTCTCCAGAGGGTACCTTGCTGGGGGAGACGGCCAAGGTGGTGACCGTTGGTTATACGTCCGCAAGCGGACAGAGGGCCAGAGCACGATCTCCTAAACCAGAAGGATCTCGGGTGTTGTTCCGGACGTCTCGAGGGACTCTACTGCGTTCTTCATTGCTGACCTGACGAGCGCAACGTCGATCAACGGCCGCAAGCAGGTGCTCCTGCAGGAAGACATCAATGCGTCGGGCTCGATCATGTGGCGCATGCACGCGAGCGCGACGGTATCCATCTCCGGCACGTCCCCAACGCTCACGATCAACGATAAAAAGTTGCAGATGAGCACCTCCAACCCACTTGACGGGGTGACGATAACGACCATGTTTTCTCCCTTCACAATAAACAGCCATCATCCCGCACTGCGGTCACTCCTGGAATCTTCTCACTGGCCGTTGACGTAGTACTCATACAGGCTCTTGTCCTGCAGGTTGCCCAGGAGCCCTATCAGAGCGCTCCTCGTGACGGCCAATCCGTTGCTTGAGGTCGCTCCACAGAAGTATGCGTATCCATTCGCGACCACGCTTGCGTCGTTGCCATATCCGACTTGGTCCGACGTCCAGATGCCCGAGACGCTCTGAATGGCAGCCGGGACCGTGTCCGGGTCGGCGGTCTGAGACGTGACATAAGACAAGGAGAAGTCCGGGTTGTTGATCGAGTCCGCCCGTTGAAGTGCACGCGCCCGAGGACCTGGTACGCAGAGACAGTGCCATTGTTTGCGAAGGTGACGACAGGCCCAGTGTTGGGCCAACCAACCAAGCGAGTGTTGTCTGAGCAGAGGCCGATCTCGGGGCACTCGTCGGCCTCCAGCTGCTAGAGGACGGAGCCGAAGCCTTGTGGGGAGGTGAGGACTAGCGTTTGTAGGTTGGACTCGTGCCGCCTCTAAGAATCTCTATGAATTCACCTCGATAACCATTGTAGGATATCGGCCACTCAACTTCAGAGTGGCAGTGGGCAGGAGCGCTAGCTGTCCAGGCTTTGCGTTCTCTGGCATGTTTTGACGTTCTGACAGGCACACTGATATGATCTTGCATGCCTTGAGTCACCAGGTAACGGCCTGGCGCATACAAGGTTCTTAAACAACGTCAGACCATCATAACCGGAGATCTGTCAGTTTCCACCGGCATTATGAGTGTGGTGCAGAGGTCAGCCGCCTATCAGCTGGGACCATATGCAGTTGGCATATAAGTGGTATGCCGTACGCTCGCTCCTCACTCAAAATCCCTGTTTTTCCTGTTCCTCTCTATAAACATGCCTGGTATTCTCCATTTTCCCGCGTTCCCCGAAGGCGTACCAACACATCGATTATGCTTTACTCAAGGCCGGTGATGAGAGAGAGATTGACCGGCTCTGGCAGGGGGCCACTGAGCTCGGCTTCTGGTAGTACGTCAACCCCCTTCCATCCGCATGCTGCCGCACTCATCGGCAGCAACAGCTTGAAGAACCATGGCATTGATGACGAAATCGACGCCATGTTTGATCTCGGCGCGCAAACGCTTGCGCTACCTCTGGACAAGAAGATGCCGTACCATTATCAGGAGGATGGGAGTTCGTTCGGGCAAGTGCATTCTGTATCACTCCCATGCCACGCGTGCTGAAAAGGTTTCCGGCCCAGCTACAAATCCATCGGCTCGTGTGTGATTGACGAGAAAGGAACAAGAGACACGACGGAATCTATAGACGTCTCCCAAGACGACGTCCTGGTCTACCCTATAAAGGTTCACCAAGCCTATCCCGCCACTATCGGCGCTGGTATAGAATTGATCGTCAGGCCGTTCGTGGCCAAGTCGATGGACATCAACTTCCACCTCCTCGGTATCATGGACGGCAAACTAGGGTTACCTAAAGGGACGCTTGCTAGCTTATGCACACCCGAAGAGCACAGTGGTAGCACGCTGCGGTTGATCCGGAACCCTCCCGCCACTACTCCCTCTGCGCAGACATTTGTTGGAGCACATACGGACTTCGGCGCCCTTGTAAGTATGTTCACTTGTCTTTCGATACCACGAATCCTACCCAACCGTTGCAGACGATCTTGCATAACCGCCTCGGTGGCTTGCAAGTTCTCGTTCCTGGGCAGGAAGACTGGCAGTATGTGAAAGTACGTCTCAGGACGTGCCCGGAACGATCGGCTGAAACGAGGACTGACGGCCCCCGCTGCAGCCACTAGAGGGCCACGCTATTTGCAACATCGGGGACGCCCTCAATATTTTCAGCGGCGGTATCATGCGGTCAAACATTCACCGCGTGGTGTGAGTACTATTCATCTTCTGCTGTTCAGAACGTTCACTCAATAGTGACATGCAGCCCGCCTCCGAAGGAACAGGCGAAGCTCGAGCGTTTGTCCCTCGTGTTCTTCACGCGACCGAGCTTCACCGCCCCCATGCGAGCCTTGACCGAACACAGCACTATCGTGGCAGAGGCGGTAGCAAAAGCGCCTGCGGAAAAGTTTGATACCGGGGTGACTGCAGGAGAATGGCTCGCTCGTCGTATGCGGAGCATTAGAGCGACCCAGTTCAAAGTGAGTGTACGACGCCATTCCCGTTGGCAACGTGATCTGATGGCGTGTTCCATAGGATTCAGAGACTTTGAAGGCTGGATTCAAGGGGACGGAGGACATTGCATTGTAAGACAGGAAGTTGTTGTCTGAAGACCTTAGCCCTGCTCTGCATGCACGCATTCAGCAATACTCGATGGAGATCGTGATTCCCTCGAATAGCATTGGCAACAGGGTTAGGCTTCTTGAACGTCTCCGCGAGCACGACAACTCCCCGTTTGTTCCTGAACGTACTAGTACCACATCATGAGTCTTCGGACAGAGAGTTAACCTAAAACCATCTTCTTGAGTCCTCTGAGTGACGACTAGCGGCATCAGTTCGCGATATTGGTGGAGTATCCCTGATTCGGTTTTCCCTGATCAGCGATCCCGTTGAACAAAACTCGAACCCAAGCTCAAACTCAATCCCCGGTAACCAACGTGGAGCGAGAGAGAGACGACGGACAGGGATGGCGGAGGTTGACATTGAAGTGCTGGCGATAGTAAGGCTAGGGAAAGCGAACGATGGATGTTTGAGTAAGGGGACGAGGGCGTGCCATGTGGAGTGGAGGAAGAGGCGATGCCGGAAGGGGCGCGGAAGGCACCAGTGGAGGGGAAGGGACTGCTAAGGTCCGCCCCACTCTGAGTTGAAACCGCCGTTGTAATCCCTATAGTTGGTGTAGTGCTGTTACGAATGTAGCCGCACATTTGGTACCGGAGCAGAGCCCGCCGAGGTATTGTCACGGGGTAAAGTCAAAGCGAAGACTATGAATGTACACAGGTGGCACCCAGTCGCCACATCCAGGCACGCAAGGACTCGGAGACATACGTGAAAGTGATGACATACGCGTATGGAGAAATTCACGGCCCCTCACTCGTCAAACACGCCCTGCTCTGATGCTTGCGCGCGAGGCGTAATGCGGCACTCGAACGGCTTCGGATGACTGAAGCGCGACGTCGAAACTGTTAGTGGCTATGAGCTCAGCAGACAAGGATAGGTGGCGAACCTGGTCACTGTCGTTGTGAACTCGACCTTCGGCTCCACTTCCCTTCCGTGCTCGTCGACCGGTTTGGCGACGTCGAACGTACCCAGGATTCGTGCGATGCTGACGAACAGCGAGAGCTCTGCGAACTGTGCGCCTGATGCACCATGAGTGTGCGTTCAGGGAACGTGAGTGTGGGAGTGACCAGTAGATTAGGCGTGCTCTAGACTCACCAGGGCACACTCGTGCTCCGAACCCGAAGACGAATTTACGGGGATCCATCTGGGTAAGTGTACCGTTTGGCGCAGGCAGAAATCTCTCGGGGTCGAAGGTCGATGGGTTGGGATAGACTTCGGGATCTCGCGACAGAGCCCTGGAAAGAAGTCACAGGTTCAGTGCGCTCGCGGATGGATGGAGAAGCCGGTAGACAAACCATATGTTGGCGTAGACGGTCGCCCCTTTCGGAATGCGATAGCCGTCGTAAACATCGTCCCTAGTGACGGAATGCGGGAGACCTAGACACCAGAATTATCTCAATGTCTGCCTGCATTCGTAGTCAGTGAACGAGACTCGCCTAGAGGTGCTACCGGGCACCAGCGCAGAATCTCTAAGATAAGAGCCCGCACATACGGTAGCCTGTCGGAGTCGTCCGCCGTTGGCAGCCTGCTCATCCCCACAACGCGCTGGATCTCATCCTGGGCACGCTTCTGGGATTCTGGATGGAGCGCCATCAACAGGAAGAAGGAAGTCAGAACGGAGACGGTCTGCCAACGTCCCGGCGGGATCATTAGCGCCAGACATGGTCGAGCAAACGAGCGACCGAACCGTATCGGCACCCCCGACATACAATGCCGAGGAGGTCCACTTGATGATATCCTCTTCCTCGTCGGAGGGCGCGCTTCCGTCCTCCTTGAGCATGTACCGCGAAGTGAAGGAGGGGGTGTAGGTTCCGGAATGCTGTCGGCAACGTCAACGCAGGCTCATTCCCGGACACGCGATGTCCAATCACCAATTGCTCCTTCGCCCAGGCATGAGGGATTTGATCTATACGTGCGAACTGTCCACGGTAGATTTCGGCCTGCTTATGGAACCCGCCGCCGGGGAACCACGAAGGAACAAAGCGTACTGTGGTAAGTTAGTGCTGATATGTATCAACCCACGGATGACACAACACATACAGATAGGATATGCGTCGACAAGCCAGCGTCCAGGTCGAACGATTTCGGCGTGTAACTTGAACGACTCCTCCATCAAAGAGACGAAGTAGTCGTCGTTGCTGTTGACCTGCCAGCCATACGCTGGATCCGTTTGTTAGAGCCATAATGCTAAGTGAAAGATGCAACACTCACCTATCTCTAGAATGATGGCCGCGGCATTCCTAACGCAGGTTGTCAACGAGCGTCCAAGCACAGGAGATCACAAGATGTTCTCACCTGCGGGCGTGAGATATGAACTGGTCTGGGTACTCTTTGAGGTTCCGGAGCAGAGTCTTCGTCTCTCGATACAGAAGAGGCAGATACTCCTGGTTTGCGCGGGAACTCAAGCCAGACTTCAACAACTTGCGATATATCCTGAAACGCGGGTTCTCGGAGGAGATGCTGAAGACTGCGAGCTTTCGCCCAATGAGCTCCTTGTACATCCATACTCTAGGGCGATCCGAGTATATGGACGAGCGAGACTCCAGTAGATCGGCGACGGCCGAGTGAGAGTTGAGCACTATGATCTTCTGTCCAAAGACTCGGAGGAGGAAGATTTGACCTGAAAGGTAGTCTATAGTCAGGATACCGTCTGGGGCAGTTACAACCAAGAAGTGTTACGTACCATACTTCTTCGCCCAGTCTGCGTATGTCTTCCAAGGCTCTACCCTCGGGACTTGGTGAACATTACCAGCAAGTAGCTTTGGGCGAGGTCCCGGGGGCAGAGGAGGCCCGGTGAGGTTCCCGAAGAGGTCCGGAAAGACCAGAGTGATAACACTCAACGCGATCACGCTCACCACAAGCAGAAAGGCAGTGGCGGCCATGACTGAAGAGTTACGGAGTGGGTCAAAGATAGGTGAAGCGACGGGAAGAGGATGGCGTAATCCCGAAGGGGGAATGGGCCTGCAAATGCTTGGTTGTTCTCCTGTGGAAGGAGCCTGTGGCAGAGATACACGTCTTGGTATTTCGTTTGTACGGCGGTATGTGCAAGTCCGTGTTGAAGTGCCAGCACGTATAGATGGTGATCAGGGTGAAGCACATGGGCTCGGATAGCCCCGCCGGCGACGCATGCAGGGAGCGTTCTGTCAAATGATCCAGTCACGGGTGGCTTCTGAGGTCACCGACTGCCCGGAAGGCACTCTCCGCGCCGGTTATAATCGGCACCTTACATCGATGCAAAAGTTGGAGTTCGGGCGCGCTACCTCGCGACAACCTGTGCCTTTGTGTACATGGCGCCTTCGAGGCACGTTGTTGGAGCGCGGCGAGTAGCAATGTATTCATCCCCTAGAACCAGCCAACACCTACCGGATCTTGATAGAACATCGGCGTGAAACGACGCGGCTGCCACAAGCTCAACTTGAAGGAAAGTTTGACCTACCGTAAGTAGGAGTCTCTCTGACAGATAAGCGCGTAACACCCAATGCGGCTGAGTTGAGCGGAAGCGGATCGGAGCCTGGAGTTATCTCCGCCCCAGCCACGATGTATGACTGCGCAACCTCGCGCACCTGCATTCCCTCTCAGAGCTCAGCGCCGCGGCTCAACCATCATGACATCCACCCGAACGCCAGCCCTCCTTCTCGAAGATGCGTCAACGTTCACGTCAACGTTAACGTCAACGTCAAGTAAGAGAGTATCCGGTCCATCTCCAGTAATCAAAGGTGCGTCGGTGACGCCGGTCATCATGCGCAGCACGATTCACCGATTCGGCCGCAGCTGCAGGCACATTCCCGACCGGACAACGAACTTCTATACGACGGTAGGACCATGAACCTGCCCATCCGCCCGGCTCTCTCTCCTGAGAACATCAAGAAAGTGCCGATGTCGGTCAGAAATCGAGGTTCCAGCCGAGTAGTATCCAACTTCTCGGCGAGAACAGCGCACAGTGGGTAACGGATTACTTCGCATCGACCTCAGGTACCTTGGTATCCGACTCACGCAGTCGTCACACCCAGGATGCTTTGTATTCGTCCTTGTTCCGCATCAGATAATCAGCCGCTCTTGACATTGTAAGCTGCACCCTTGACACAGACCTGCTCGTATCTGGGTTACGCCTGGTCTGTGATAAAGCAGGCGCACCACTTCAGAGCGTTGGTATCGTCCCCGCGCAAAACTTGTACACGATGGCTATCGACGTAGTTCAAGCCGAGATGATATCAGCTTTTGTTGAGAGTGCACTCTACGGTACGTCTCCTGGACAACACGACTTGCGGCTTCTGACAGCCTGGTGCTAACCGAGTGAATGAGATGTTGACCTTCGTTCATTATAGGTTTCTCTGTATTCTTGTTCGGAGCCACCATTTGGGCACTCCTCTACCGGCGGTCGACCACCAAAGTCAATCGAGTCATGGTCGCCGTTGCCTGTATCTTATTTTTCCTTAGCACTATGGTTTGTATGCTCCGTCGGAAACAATGACGCTCGTCTCACGTCCTCTATTTGATAGAGATGGGTCGTGGATGTGAAACTCATCTATGACGGGTTTATCGGGTCTGCGGACCCAGCTTTGTTCTTTCAGGACACGAGCAAGCAGACCTGGAAGAATGCCGTTTACGCATGTCAGACCTTCCTCGGCGATGGCGTCCTCGTACGTCCCGCTCTGTCTCCCTTCGTCGCACGTTGCACAACTTCGCTCACCCGTCCGTCAGATCTACCGCGCTTACATCGTCTGGCAAAGCCCCTGGGTCATCGTGATTCCAGTGCTGTCCTACCTCGGCATGGTGGGTGAGTAAACCCCTGAACCGTCCCTGGCGTTGTTCAAGTTTGAAGCTTCTTTTCCCGATAGTCGCCGCCATCCACACGGTCTGGTCCATCGCCCAACCTACCGTCGATTCGAGCAATATCTTTCTACGTCAAACGGGCCAATGGGTACTGTCGTTCTATTCCACCACTCTCGCGACGAACCTCCTGGCAACAAGTGCGTAACTCGTCACATCGCTTCACATCGAGAACATTCCACGTAACCGCTGTACACACAGGCCTCATCGCGTACAGGCTCTGGACAGTGAACGCCTCCGTCCACGGTCTCCGCAAATCGTCCGGGCCGATGCCCATACTTCTAATCATCGTAGAGTGCGGCGCGTTGTATTCGTGCGCGCTCATCAGCATGATCGCCGCGTACACTCTGCACTCCAACAGCGCATTCCTCATCATCGACATCGTAAGTGAACCGTTCTCTCTCAGACTATCAGCGTTCCCAATCGCTCACCTTGTGCCATCGCATGTATGCGCTAGACCGGTCCCATCATTCCGATCACCTTCTATCTCATCATCATTCGTGTGACTATGGCGCGTATAGCACGAACCCACGTAACTTCTGGATCTACGAGCACAGGAGCACACGGCCAATACCCTCTCCGCCCGTGGGAGGTGCGCATAGGTCGATTCACCGAGACGTACACCACCACAGACCCCTACCCTTCGGTGTCACTCCCTTCGCAGCAAGACAACAAGGGCACGGAGCCGATGACTGGCGAGCCAGCTCAGGTCTAGCGCACACCGCGATACGGAACAGGGGTCCGAGTATCTGAGGGTTTGACTCATATTTATGTAGCCAGTTGTCCATTCCGCTTGCTGTATAGCTACTGTTTATGCCCCCGTTGGCGGACTGTAAGTCTGTTGCCATGGATCGGCCTCTGTGTTAACTAGATAGGAAGATGTAGCATGAGTTCGATATGTACACCGTAACGGAAGTGGATCATATTTGAAAGCAGAGAATGCGTCCCGAAAAGCTCCACGCGAACCACGTTTATGAGCTAACAGGTCGAAGTGAAAGTTGTCCGAGTATCGAAGTCGGTCATCATTCACAACGAATGCCAGCACGACTGCATTCCCTCGCAGTGGACGTCGTCTGCACCATTGGTGAACCGGTAATACGTCAACAACTTGTATTCTGGTCCTGCAGCCATCGGACAGTGATACAATCAGAATAATCTTCTCTGTCAGTCGGAAGCCCAAGTACGTAAATGGTGAAGGACCCACTGCCCTCGTTGCTGGGTGGCGCCGCTGCATGTTCTCTTCATGACCGGGCTATCACTTCGCACCTCGGGTAAGATAGTGATTGCGAGCTCGGCATGTGTCACGAAGAGACTCGCTCCGTGCCAGTGACACATGTAGTTGCCACTGTCGCTGTGTAGGGCTGTAGTGTCGCGTGTCATCCATAGACGCCAGGCCGTCATCCTGTTGTTGCTCAAACAAGGTTCGATCAAGGGTTTCCGGTTACCGGTTAGCTTCGGCTCTCCTCGGAATCCCACATGTCATCGCATTTCTCTCTATGCAAGTTCCCTAATGCAGCATTTTCCAAAGGCTCATCAAAAATACAACGTCAAATACTTCACACGATCTGAGTGTTCCTCCTTGTCGCCACCATCATGCGCGCCCACAGGAACAGGAAAGACGCCACGAAGACAAGGCTCTGTTGGGCATGTGAACGTGAGTGAAACTCAGGCTGCTGCCCTCGCTCGGGAACCACTCAGCATGGGGACTCACCGCAGAGAAGGCGATGGGGCGGATCCAGTGGAAAGACCCGGTGAGCAGTGCGCCCTGGATGGGGGCCGCGCCCAGCGTCCCGAGGCTGCTCAAGGCGAGCGCGATTCCGGTCCGTGCGCTGTTGTGTCGCAAAGATGATAAGTTGAACGAGCAGGGAACGGCTGGGTCTGTCTTGGAGAGAGTCCGCTCACCCGGCTTCTTTAGGAGTCTTGGCCAACGATGCCAGGGCGGCGATGCTGAGACTGAGGTCTGAGAGTGGCACAGGAGAGCGTGAGTGCCCGGGGGCGGGCCCAACGCATAAACTTGTAAGCACGCGCAAGCTGCAGAGATGGGGGAGGCGGAATCGACTGACACGCTCCGGAGAAGACCCCGTACAGGACGCTGACCGCGACGAGGGACGCCGCCGTGTTTCTGGACGTGGCGTGAGGCGCGGCATCGCAGGACAAACGCACGAGGATTCTTACATGCCGAGGACTGCCCAGATCGTGCCCCCTACTATGAACGCGCACGGAACGAAGAGGTTGAACGACCCGCGGCTGTCGGCGACGTAGTTGCCGATGAGGCGACCGACGCCGCCGCTGCCGTTCATGATAGCGAGCTGCGTAGTTGAGGTGTCATCGATGCGCCTCACTCCACCCGTTCGTAGTAAGAGGAGGGACACGTACGGAGTAGAAGGCCAGGTTCGCGTCGATGTTGTGTAACACCGAGTAGAGCTGGATGTAGATCACTAAAATATAAAGTGTTAGTGGATACCGACGCGGGCAAAAGGCTCTACCAAAGGGGAATTATACGCACCAGGGAAGTACAGCCCGAAGCTGATGAAAAAGGCCCTGGTTAATTTGTTACCACATCAGTGGAGGATACGTGGACAGCCCGAGAACATAAAAACCTACCCGACCATGCACAGGAGGTATGGTCCATCTCTGAAGAACGATCCTATGTCGGGTTTCTCGTGGGCCGACGCTGAAGAGGATGAGATACGACGAGTACGCATGCACAGGTTTCCGATAAAGACGAAGCCCAGAACCAGGTACGCGCTTGCACGGACGGCGCCCCCGAATCCTATGGTCGGTATGAGATGGCTGCGGAGAGATTCAGTCTCCATAGATCGACATGGTCTCCGTAATAACATACTTGAGCACTGTATTCACACGAAAGAACGATGTATGAGCATCAGACACGACAACAGACAGCAGTTCTGGGCACGTACTAATGGGGAAGACCAATGCACCAGCAGAATTACCGCTGAGGATCACGCCGGTAGCAAAGACTCTGCGACGCTTGAAATGATGCACCGGAATGCTCAGGGTAGGGATGAAAAGCAGGCCTAGGCCTAGGCCCATTCCCAAACCTTGGCTCAGGAAGACCTGAGGCGGTAGATGCGGAACTTCACTACTGTACAAGCTTTGATGTTTTGGACAGGACGTACTTGATAATAATGGTTTGGCTTTGCCAGCGACAACATGAAGAGACTAGGCCGAGGATGAAAACAGCATCAATTCGACGAATACAAGGGGTAACGTACGAGAAAGTGAACAATAGGGATCCAAGGCCAGTGAGGATATGGAAGTAGCCTTCGTCAAACAATTTGCCGGTGACGATACCCAGCAGGAAGGGCATCATGAGCTGGAAACTACCGATCCATCTGTGCCAATTAGCTTGAGTGAGATGCTTCCGAGGACAAGTTCACGGGAGGACGTATTACGCAATTCGACTTGCAGAACTATCGTTCAGGTATATGCGGGTGTAGAAATCTACGATGGCCGTTGAGTGTCACGACGTGCGCTGCATGAGACGAGCGACACTAACCTTGGTATACTCCAAAAGCGTAGATATACCTGACAAAGGCTGTTCACGATTCTGAGTCCTTGCAATGAGTAGACTTTACTCACCCAAACGTTGAGAACATGACAAGCCACCTGCGAACGGAGGTGTGTTGAGCGACATGTTTTGGGAGTGCATATGTTTAGATATCTCACGCGCCACTGACAGTCATCCATGCAGTGAAACCGCCGTCCGGTACAGACTGAAGGCTTTCGGTGCCATTTCGAGGCGAGAGTGAGGCTTCATCAAGGGGGTATGTCTCGGATCCCTCCTCTTTGACTTGGGATGAGTGCTCTGTAGTGTCCATGGAGAGACTTGAGAAGGGGGTGCACGCAGTGCACAAGCGGATATAGCCACAGTACTTACTAGTATACTTACTGGTACATAGACGACCGCAAGGGCCAAGGGCCGTCCGCGTCAGGGACCGATCACCGCCGGCCCTGCCACTGAGGCTCGTGCACCATAATGGGCGACGGGGTACGGGTATATACCGAGGGCCGCCTTCAAAAATTCCGGCAGAATCATGCACGAAATCTCAAGCGAATTGTAGTGTCATGGAACTGCTATGATGGTGTTAACCGAATTATGGAAGATATACTTCGAGATCATCGAAGCCTCCCATCGGCGATTGTGCCTTACCGCAGTGATTACCGGGCGCCGCTCACTGGCAGACAGTCTGAGACAAAAGCCACACCGTAGACGCTGGGGCGCATCACATCGACGAGCTCCAAGTAGAAGCGCCGGTAGGACGGGTGAGACACGCAGCATCGCTTCGAAATTGTATTTGACAAGCTTCTCGACCCAGATGCACGCCGCGGCCGCTGTCCAGCAGAAGAAGACCGAGAACTCCGAGCGCTCTCACCACTGGCACTCAGCGCTAAAATACCACAACCCGCGCGCTCGTCCCAGTCACAGCGTGAAGCCCAAGAATACGGAGGTTGGGAACATGGGGGGGGATGCGCGGATTCCCCCGACATTCCCACCAGATTCCCATGAATGTTCCCCGTACTCGGAAACATCTTCAGTATTTACATGTTTCAATGACATTCCCATTGTATTAATATTCCCTCGTACCCAAACCGTGATGCCCAATGCGTCAAAATAAGTCCTGTAATTTCTGTCAGATAACCTGTTAACGTTATCAATCCGTGCGAACTTGACTCGGAGGCCATGTCCACGGCCTTCCGGATTCACCAGCATGCGTGACCGTCGTCGACTTGGAGCGCACCTGGTTCACCTCGAAGCTTCATGACGCACACTGTGTTCAAACAAAATCATATTCCTCGTTCATACTACACCATGTCTACCCTACCCCGCTGGAAACAACTGACTCAATGCTCTTGCAAGAGCAAGTGCTCCAAGAAGGCATTGGGATACGACATCGCCACTGTGCAGACCGCATCAACTTGGCAAACCATCGGGCAGCGTGTATGCGTCAGCTGCACATGAAGATCGGACTATCATCAACGCCGCAGGCCGTGATGGGGCATTCCTCCAGTGAGTACATAGTCGATGGTGTCGGAGGACTCAACCTCGAGCGTGATGGTCTTTCCAGCGAGAACAGCGTTTTGTTCCTCACAGCGCTCCTACTCCTGGCCATGTATCCTGATCTCTGTCTCCTCTCGGACGCGATGGCCCAGGCCAAGATCTTGTTCCTGCACTTGACTGCGTCTACGGCTTCCTCTCCGTCACTCAGCTCCTTAGACGACATCGTGGACTCTGCCAGAACCTTAACGCCTCTTAAACCTTACTGGGGATTGAAGGCTTGTCTGCTCTGGTGCCAGCATTCGAAGAGCTACCTCTAGTCCGTCTTGCATGTCTTCATTCTGTGCTGACCATTGGATTCGAACACTAACCAATACTGGGCACAGAGGGACGACTTGGTGATAAGCTCGCGACCATCTGATAATGCCTCGGAAAACTGCCTGACACTCCCCGGAAACCCTCACGATCGCTGGTCGCAATGCTCTCCCGGATGTCACAGAGATGGTTGTTCTGCCTGCAGCTCCTTGCCTACCTCAGCAATTGCAAGTACCTTCAACGCCGGCCATGATCCTAGAAGTGCCGAAGTCCCATTGCAAGTTTTCATTGTACCATGTATCGATATCACTGCGCTTTGTATCCCACGATCCATATGCACAAGTCTGCCCATGCAATTACTTGCATCAAACAATGCCAGCGCTGCTGATGCGCGAGCAGCTGCATGAGGCTTGAGCTAGCGAATGAAAACATATTGGGAGGACGCGTACGCGTAGGCGGGATATCAATGCCACGACTATTCAGGCGCTCATGTATAGATTAGTATCGGTGATGCCATATACAATATCAATCATACCTGATTCAATTCCGTGGGACTCCAGATTCCCCTTTCTGGGAATGCGCTGGGTGGGAAACATAGTCATTGCATTTACGTTCCCAAATTCGCCGGGAATGTAATGGGAATCTGTTGAGAATGTGCTCATCTTCTCCATATTCCCCTCCATCCATAATCTGACGCTTCACGCTGTGAGTGTGCCTTCGACAGCTGCATTTTAGCTCCCCCTTCTTGTGCTAACCTCCGTTGTCCAAGAAAATGGAGATAGAGGCTTTTGTGTTTGATCCCTCAGAGCCCAACTCCCCGCAACTCAAGCTCGCTTTCAAGCGGTACTCTCGAGATGATAGTACGGGATGTAACCCAAGTGGCGCTCTGTCGCTACTTCTCGCCCACGGATCTGCTCTGCGTGTGTTGAGTCCCTATGCATTCACCATCTCTCTCTATCTCACGAAAATTTGAATACTCAGACAAAGAGCAATGGGAACCGACTATCGAAGCGTTATTCGCAATTCAAGACAGCTGCAGCCGCCGTGCTCTCGTTCACGAGGCTTGGGCCGTGGATTGGCAAAGCCATGGAGAATCAGCCGTCATCAACGACAATGCTCTTCAAGATAGGCCCGAGGGTATCAGTACGTTCTCTCTGCCCCTCTCTTTGTTCGCCATTGCTTCTCTCAACTGCAGCATATGTCAGGCATCTCAGAGTGGGGTTTCGCGTTGTCCCAATTCATGAGTTCAGCCCACACAAGAAACCGCCGTATTGTCGCCATCGGACACTCTGCGGGGTGCTCTGCGATGTATGTAGTGCCTACTACTCGTACGTTCCTGCAGGACTGAACGGTGCCGTCGAAACCACAGCATGTACTCCACGAAGTACCTCCTCAACGGGCCCAACAGTTACGCTGCCATTATCCTGGTGGAGCCCCCCATGATCGACCGCGACGTTTTCAACGACCATCTTCAAGAGCGCCTCCAGCAGGTCGGTGCGATCACGAAGTCCGTCGCTGCGAGTCGCGCAAGCTGGTCTACGAAGGAGGAGGCTCTCAAATGGCTGAGCGCGAAGTATCCTTGGAAGACCTGGGATCCCCGCGTCCTGCGTCTGTTCGTGGTACGTCCTCTAGAGCTCCGAGCGTTTTGCTTCGTCAGCGTATGTGTCGAATGGATACGTTGCAGGAGCATGGCCTGCGCGAACATCGTGATGCTGGGGGCCGGGACTGCGTCGTTGTGAAATGCTCCAAGAAGCACGAAGCCAGCGCCTACAAGGACTTCGAGTCCACGTTCGAGGCTACGGACATGATTTCCGCAGTCTGCAGGGCAGTACCATTGCATATAATATTCGGAGCAAAGAACGACCTGGTGTGAGTACTGGGCAACCTTCCCCATTCGACATTGGAGCCTCATCCTACAAATGTAGACCGCGATACAGCCAAGACTCCCTCGTGGACGCTTCCAAGGGCCGCGTGCCGCAGTCTATCACCCGGTTGCCTGGAGCAGGTCATTTGGTAAGCCATCCATTATCCGCATTGTTAGTCGATTACGGCCTTTCCAATGGTGCCGTTCTTTCCCTCGTAGGTCGTTCAAGAGAAACCTGAACTGCTTGCGGAGGCCTTAGCGGAAATCTTGGATACCTTGGTAGTTTCCGACTTGTCGAGGTTGTGATCGCCGTCGGGGCCACTGGGATCCTAATCGGATAGTGCCTCGTTATTTGGTGTCAATCTTACTCTTCGTAGAGACCCTTTGTGAACAAGACTCGAGTTCAGGATTCGGTAATGCGCCACCCGAGGCGCCAGGCACGATTCCTGGTCCTTCCAATAAGGTGTAATCGCTACTGTCGTATCCACGAAGGCGCGGATAAGACTCCTGCCTGTTCGGTACCGCTGGCTTCGTGGCAAGCGGAAAAGCGGCAAGCGCAGCATGGTGAGTTGTGACACCTCTCGCGAGCACGGGACCTGACTTGATGCTAGCACACGGCCTCCGAAGAGGAACCATGGCGGCACGACGTTGGCAGCGGGACTTCTAGAACCCGAAGCAGCGCGCGCGCACGCCACGAGAGCGTACGGCATGCTGTCGCGACCAAGGCATGCGGAAGCTCCCGAACTCCACGGCCCCGGGACCATCTGAGAGGTCGGCATGTTTGTAAGATGAATATCCGACGATCTTTGGGAAAATTTGGAGGGACGGAGGAAGTCCTATATGACCGAGGTACCCGTGATGTATTTCTTGTGGTTGATTGCCGTCCTACTGAGCAGCCGGCCGGTGGCCCGAATAAATTTCAGGCGCCATGTCATCAAGTAATCATTGCACGGTTTACTGATCACCGCGCGTGGGGATTCCTCGATCGAGCGCGGCCATGACGCCGGCATTATTTACAACATCAGAACGTACCGTGGACCTGACACTCCCTTCAAGAAGGCTTCCGTGTGGCATCCGTGATCTTCTCCGCCAGCCGTGAAGCGCAACTTTTGCCCCGGTTTGTACAGCCTGAGTAAGATATGTATAACTGCAGCCACAGCTCTGCCCAAAGACACATAGGGAAGGCTTGACCCGATACCCCACGCACTGCCAACTTGACCTCGACATGCACATTGTGAAAGGATACTCCTCTCCTCTTGCTGGCCTTACTGCCTTTGTCTTGCCCGCCTTCTTGGAACATGGCACGTCTGAAACTTTGCTCCGCAATCGATTGGGATAGTATGCCAACTGATCCCTGTATAGCGAGGGCCTCGGTCCAGCGCGCCTTGGCGGCAGGAATACAGAAAGGCTGCCTGATCGTGCGAGAGGCTGACGGTGAGGTCCGTTACGGGCAAGACCCTGCGGTCGCGTCGAAAAGCGTTCGCAAAGCCGAATTGTGCGTGAAGTGCGACAAATTCTGGGCTCGTGTCTATCTCTCTTACGACTTGGGCTGTTTGTTCGTTTCTCTTCCTCATCTGGATACTGTCATCTGATGTTTCCATTGTCTGCATAGTTTCCGAGGCGTACATGCACGGGGACTTCACCACGCCAGACTTGAAGGCTATCCTAGAGGTCTGCTCTTCGCTACTCCGTTCACAATGATTCACTCGAACAGGTCATCTGACAGAGCCTCTGCACGACAGCTTTGGCTTGATAACCGAGAATCCTTGAGTGGCCTTCGTTCGCTTTACAGTCATATGCAGAATCTAGCATCTATTGCCTTCATTCGGTTCTTCGGACAGTCACTTACTAACGCAAGGTTGAACGTCGTACGTCCGCTATCCTCCTCTACGTACAGAGTATGATTTGACAATAGCGATTACGACAGATCACGGGCTACGAATGCTCAAATGACTTCTTTGAGGTACTATACTTCTGCTACTCCATAACAGTGCGCAAACTCAAGAGCAACTCGTAGGCGCTCCTCAGCAGGGATATGACCTACTCCTGTGCGCTGTGGACTCCTGACATTGGCGGGGTCCGTGGCGACCTCGAAGGTGGTTCACACGAAGGTGATCTCGAGAAGGCTCAATTGAATAAGATCGCCCATCTGCTTGAGAAAGCGAGACTACGACCTGGCGACCGCCTATTGGAGTTTGGGTCAGGATGGGGTTCACTTGCGATCCAGGTGTGCTCTAGTATGACTGGATTGCCAATACACATAGAGACTGATATTTGCTTCAACACCTAGGCTGGGAAACTCGGGTGTACTGTGGATACAATCACCCTATCCACTCAGCAAAAAGTCCTAGCGGAAAAGCGCATCGCCGAACAAGGGCTTGAAAAGAAAGTCAGAGTTCACTTAGTCGATTACCGCCATCTTCCTCCTGAGTTTGAGCACGCCTTTGACGGCTTCATAAGCGTTGAGATGGTGGAGGTATGTATCAAGTCTTTTGATGATATCTTCCATTTCAGATCTGCTCACAGTACATAGGCCGTGGGATTTAAGTATCTTCCGAGATTCTTCCAGATCCTTGACTGGGCTTTGAAGCCGGACAGAGCTTGCGCGGTGATCACGGCAACGACTCAGCCGGAATCCCGTTACACAGTCTACCAGTAAGTACCTCCAACCACTACAAACGATACATAGATACTGACATCCTCGTAAATCAGACCCGAGGACTATGCGCGGAGATACCAATGGCCGAATTCTTTCTGCCCTTCAGCGACGTCCTTTGTATCGACAGCCGCAAGTTCTACCAGAGGCAGTTTAGTACTCGAGAGCGTCGAGAACTTTGGTCATCGTGAGTTGCATTCAGTACTGACTATAGCAGCCCAGAGATCATGACGAGAGAACTCCTATAAACCTCTCAGATTATCCTCGAACATTGCGAGAGTGGGGAGCGTGAGTATCTCTACATCATTCTCGATGCATGCTTTGACTGAGCAGCACCGACTTCTCAGACGTCTCCAAAATAACTGGACCGCGGAGACCATAGCGAAGGTGCGCAGGAGCCAGCCTCATCTTGAGACTACGGAGGATCTGGAGGCTTTCAAGCGTAAATGGGAATACATGTGTGTCTACGCCGAGGTCGGATACGCTGGAGCATATACTTCCATGCACTACTTCACGTTTTCCCGACCGGTGCGTACCGTAGTTGCCTCGAATACATGCGAAAGTGCGACTGACACGAGCGCATACAGGAGAGCGTTGTCGAGCGCTGTGACTAGAGCTTGTATACGTAATGACTCTTTCGATTACCTGTCATATCCATGAGTATTCAGTCGAAGTTCTACAAACACCGTACAAATTTCCTGGAACCCAGATCTTGAAACGATAGGAACGAAGGCTCTTGGCACACGCAACAGAGACTCAACCACCCTTCTGAACTTCATTTCATGCTCATCTGTTCCTCTAACTGTCCTCTGCTGACATTATCGTAGATCTCAAGCGCTTCAGGAACATTCGCCACTGCTACAGAAGTACATGCGAGGATGGTCGCGAGTAGAGAACTGTTATAATAGAATATGGTGTGCGCTCACCTTTTAAGATAGCACGTTGGACGTGTGAGGGCAGGTCTGATAAGTGCAATCGGCCTACAATTCATCGCGATCCGCGCCGCGCGGTAAGGTCAACTCTGAAGCAACCACTCGACGTCAGTTAGATTCTGATGTCTAGCAAGCTTGAATGAGTAGAAAGCATGGACCACGCGATGCGCAAAGCGACAAGACGATGACAACGATACTACAGCTTGAGAGGAATAAATGTAGCAGGCATCTATTTGGGAAGCATACCCCGGTCGTGCTTCTCGGCAGCAGCTGTAAGAGCAACGCACGCCTGTTGGTTCGATTTCATCAAGTCATCGGTCCTACGGATCACATCCCTTCCGGACGTGGCATGCCTAACTTCGAGGTCAAAAAGTCTGCTAGAATACGATACGATGCTGCGCAGGAAATCTGCGCAGTGAACTCGAGAGGTCAAGAGAAGCTACCTTTGGGCGCGGAGCGTTTGTAGGTCGGCAGTGGCGTAACGCAGGAGTTCGTAGCGATCGGCACGAGTTTCAAGTCTTGCGCCTTCAAACTTGTTCGCGAGACATCTAACGGTGACTTGTAAATATATCATGGGCCGCGCAGTCGAAATCCGCCCGTACACATACATGCCTGGTGAAGCTTGTTTAAGACGCCCACGATGGCGATGGCTTCTGAACCAGGGTTGCCGACACCGGTGTGGTTGTCCATGAGTGTCTCGTCACCTTTCTTGATGTCCTTGAGAAGGACGCGTGCCCTACGTGTGACGGATGTACGAAATTCCTGTTCCTTCTTGACGTGACGGTGTTCGGAGAGCGAACCCCGACGAGAGCTGAGCAGGAGACGTAAATCTGGCTGCAGTGTGCACGAGAACGCTGGATGGCCGCAGAAGGTGCTGGAAGAAACCAAGAGTACGTCCTTCTCCCTCCCCAGATCCAAAGAGAGCGTTCCCAGTTGCCGTGAGACACCGACCCCCTCGTGAGGCGCACGGACAGCAGCAGCCTCCGACTTGACCATCTTGACCGCAGCCTTAGGAGGGGACCGCAGTGTCAGGAGTCGAGCGCCAAGTCAACGACCTTCTGTTCCTGCTCAACCTGCGTCATAGGGGATGCAGCGACAGCGGTCGAAGTAGAGCCCAGAGCCAACTGATGTCATTGAGATGAGGGGAATCAGACAACACGATATACCTCCACCACGCCGTCTGTCTTCTCCACTATTGTGCTTCCGTTCGATTGAGGAGCGGTCACGCACTTCACCACAGGCGGACAGGTTGGAGGACGGTGCATTGGCGTCTCCAGAAGGATTGTTACGAGTGTATGCTTGGTACTGATGTGTTCACTAGCGGGCAGGGCGTTAACAGGAGAATACGAGACACGTTGTGCAACTGTTCTCCACAGCGGTTCGGCCACCTTCCGTCCAGTGGAGCGGAGATTTGTTGCCTGTGGCCCTGATGAGAACGTAGCGCACCGAGCAAGACTGCTCGTGATTACCTGTGCAAAAGAAGAGTGGACAATCTGCTCTGCGACCTCAGCTGTGGACAAACTGGAGCCCCATCGAGCTGCGTACCAATGACTGTGCGACCCTTCTTTGACAGTTTTGTCATTCCAAGCGCCTACAAAGTCGTATTCAAGGTCATCTGCGTCCTTGAACCCGGGGGCAGCAGAGGAAACCTAGAGGATGTCGCCCAAGCGTTGAGGCCGGATATTGAAGAGCTGTTCCGCCACTTCCACAAGAGGACAGCAGATGGAAAACCGCGCCTTCCCAGGAATTCGTTGCTCTCGTAAGCAAAGCTCAAGGTCTAAAGACGGTTCCTGGGCAGAGGTTGGACGCTGCAGTTAGTGGTCGCGGAATGTGGCGAAATACGAGCGCTTGAACGACTGACTCACAACTGTAGCGAGAGGGCACTAGTCCATCCGAGAATATTAATTCGACATGGGCTATAGACTCTGGCTGGCTTGTGTCGCTCTTGGGAGTAAACTATGGGCAACCCTCGAAGTTCTTGTAGTGAGGCATACTAACCTCCCGGACACTCCTTGCCATTGATTCAATATTGTCATATGCTGTAGTCGAAGCTGAACGTAGAAGCTTAGAGCCCGGAAGACTGCATACGCACGACCCGAGCAGCCTGACCCCCGAACGCAGCATCCCCGACAACCCCTGTCTGCTGCATGCGTACCCCCGGTACTCACCTCCAACGGACATACGTCTCCAGGTCCATCATAGCGTTCCGTGAAGAGGGACGAAGCAGAGAAGTCTTACATTAAGTGATCTATATCTAGACCCCAGATTAGATGTGTGGGAACCCCGCCAAGCTCTCGAAGGCCACCTGGACAACGCTGCAAGCGGGGAAAGAGACGGAGAGCAGGTCGTATGGGAAGCATCGTAGCGGTGATTGGCCATTACGGCTGTTTCTCCACGGGCAACGACTCGGGGGCGGCGAGAGCCTCCCGTTGCTTCGCGAGCCTATCCAACAGAACGTTTGTGCATGTCGTCAGCGCGGCAACCTCCTCCGACTTGGGGTCCGCGCAGGCCGCCCAGCGTATCTTTTTGTCCGAGTCGACGAGGTAGACGTATCCGACGTGCTTGTTTGCAATCCCCAACGGCTCGCGGAGGTACCTGTGTTAGGATAACAGAAGTCGGCTACAGGACGACGGGGCATGTAATGAAGAAAGCACGCACTCCATGTTCTGGTTTGAGATCATGTAGGTGGGCCACAGCTGCTCGGGAACCTGTTTCTTGATGCCGGACGTGAAGAGGGAGACGAGCCAGGACTTCATGAGGTTGTCTTGCAGGTTGATTTGCACGAGCTGGAAGTCTGGGTTCGAGCCGAACGCCTTTTGGGTGGGTTCCACGAAGTGTGCGGTTTGGATCTGGCGATTGACTCAGCATCTCGCACTTGGCCAAAGGGTAGAGGAGAGTTGGGGGTACCTCGGATATACGCGTGGTGAGGAGGGTCAAAACTGAGACCTTGCCGTCGAGGATATTCGTCGTATGGGCCTTCTCCTCGCCGGCTAGTGTGGCGCCATGAATATCCGGGAAGTATAGGGCTTTCTGTCAGGATCAACTCAGCAATCCGCGCACATAGGACAGGGGGTTAGTTTCCGAGGGCATAGGCAGCCTATCCGTGCCAACATGGACTCACGTCTTCCCGGATCATGACCTTCGGCGCGATCCACGTCTTGCCTCCGTGTTTCCGCGTCGCGTTCAGGTCGGCGAAGTATCCTCGCGTCGCTTCCCGCGCTCTACAGCGCGATGTCAGCCAGCCATGAAGGATGTCTGAGTGTTCGAAAATTGAATACGGGTACGCACAAGTGTGTCCGCTCCTCCATCCGCTTGTCCTGGTCCATGAACTTCTCCTTCGCGTCCGACCACGTCCTCACCCGTGCCTTCGGTTTCTCCCTCACTCCCAGCGGCCTCTGCAATAGCGGCAGCTCGTCCTGCGCAACAGCTTGCGTCGCGTCCACAGACGATACGGCCTCCTTCTCCTTCCCTTTCTCGGACGCGGGAACGGCCTCGGCCTGAGGGGCAGGAGGCTCGCTTGACTGTCGTGATGGTGTACTAGAGACGTAGCGAACCCGAAAAAAGACAGAACGCTGGCTTGGCCTCAGGCCGGCTTGGATGCCGGAACGTAGAGAAGGTAAGGACCGCATGGTGATCGAAAGCAGGCCGATCGTACTGCGTGACAGAGAGAGACCTATAGGATAAGACGAACTTCCCCTGAGGTCCCAGGAACGAGAGCGCACGAACAACGAGGTCGAACAAACTTGGAGGTACTGGTAAGTCGTAACTTGGGTGTTGCTGCAAAAGCGCAAAACGCCAGGCTGGTGACATGCCGAAGATTGGGGTCACGTGCCGTCAAAACGCGTCGCGGTCGACTCGCAGCTGGTTCGTGTCCATCGTTTGGCTTTGATCCCTCCATTACCTCGCATTCCTACCAACACTTGGACTCAATGCAGATCACCGCGTTCCAATTATTCTGAATCGTGCTCGACGTTCGCAGTCGCTCATTTGTGAGCTCTGACGCATAGGAGGTGCTCTCGGAGGTGCGTGCGCTGAAGCCCGAAGGCAACGTCTTTCGAACTCACGATGATCGACAGTTTGGTGTCATAGACACCCAGGTGATCAGTGGAGAAAGCGCAATAACTACAGAGAAATGAACCTCCACCTTCCATATTGGAGCCTAAGTACTCGACCTCGTAAGCCTCGGACGTCTGAGGACCGCTACAGCTTCCTCCACGAACATGAAGTGTCACCCCACCTGCAGCTTCTCTGATGTCACCAACAAGGATTTCCCCCAACATTTGCCTTGTATGGATTAGCAGCATATATGGTGTATGCGGCGTACCGTCTGTGCGTGCTGCAAACATCACGCAAGGTGGCGGCGTGCACGGGGCGGCGCACATCTCGCGCGGCACACATGGTATGCAATTTTTTCTCTGTTTTGACCCTACCGCGACATGCTCACTCGCTGGCTCGTCACTATCTCGAATCGAGAGCATAGGTCCGACATGTGCAATGCTAGTAGCCCGTGGACTCATCTCGGAATCCGAAGAGTTCACCATCGTATTCATGACGAACTAGGCAACAGGCGCTTCCATCCGCGTTATCCCACGTGGGATGGGACAAGCTCGAGCCCTGGGTGCGGCGATCCGGATACCAGCCGGGTGTGCCTTCTCTTACGAGGCCTTATCCGGATCCCTAAATCGCAGCTCATCCAATGACCTGGCACAGAGCAGATTGTCTTCCCAAGCTCGGGCTTGTGACTTGGCCTGGTTTCTGTGGGGAAGAGCAAAGATATCCACTGATATCCACCATGGATTGCGATGACCTCGGATTATCGGGACGCGGGCGATTCCCGGACATGAACTGCCAACTGTATGTACACCACGATTGCACCACCTCAGGACACCGCAGGCCGTCACTATCCCTTCACTGCTGCATACGAATCGCGGTGATCGAGTTATCGGGGCGAGCCTTTCGCACGCACCTACCGCAGGGCCGCTTCTGGAAAGCTGGAACATCGTTGAGTATAGGCTCACTGGGTGTGCATTGCAAGTATCTGGGGACTAAGCTTATCGTTCGTGTCTCACAGGCCCTTGGGCTCTCACCGCTATAGACGAGGGTTCAGACCCTCGGAACCTGAGCCTGTCCTGTATTGAGACGGCCTACGGCAAGATGGCCCGACTCCGAGTCCGTCTCCCCAAGACGTGATAGAGCTGCGATTCCGCGACAGCCGCTGTCCACCTAGCCTGTCAGTGGATTCAGGAACATTCCAACGAATGTTGACGCGCAGGGCGCTCAGTGGGTACTCTTGACAAGCTCTCGCAACTCATACACGCGCATCAGGGGCGCTCCCGGACATTAAGCCATCCACCCTTGTGCTTGCTTGTTTTGGCCCTGGATTGGGTTTGCGCAGTGCGAGATGGCGAAGAGCGTGAGGATCCCCTCACAGCGCGCACAGGAATGCCTAGCGATTATGAACAAAGCTCAGCAGGAAGGGTCCTCTGGTTGCTAATGTACCTGCGCGATATTACGTTCCTGAAATTTGGTGGCGACGTCGGTGAAGGTATAACGTCGATCAGAAGCTCGACTCAGTCGTCCACTATCAGAATGGAGCGTCGTTTACTCGGCATATGTCATAGCAAACACTTCATAAGGCTCGGAGCAAGGTGTGCAGTCTTTCATGTCATTCCTTGGTGACGCTAAGCTAACGTTCCAACGACGTCATCAACCACAGTCTATACGTTCCTCACATGTGGGAACCACGGGCACGGCGACGGCGCTGCGGCAGCGGTTGGCGGCGAAAGTGAGTGGCAATGTCTGCGCGGCTTGTCGTCGTCGCCGCCGTCGGGAGCATATTTACCGCTCCGAGCCACACATCCGAATCCGTGTCCGAGTTTCATCTTCAGATGTCAGGCGACCATCGGCGTCCTATGGAACCAGACCAGAAGATAGAATATGCCCGGGAAGACATCTCAAGTCCAGGCGCTATGGAAGTACACTGGGGTCATCGGTCATACCCCACCCTCTCGAGGTTCGACACTGCTACACGATGCTCCGTCGAGGATAGCGGTGCCGGTGCCTTAGCTTGAATGCACCCCGAATTGTGAATCGAGGCTGGGAGTGCGTCGAGCCCCAAAATCACAGAGGCCGGGGATTCCGCTGCTTGGAAGGCGCGAAGAATGCTGTGCAATGAGCGCCCGAGCGGCCCGACGCGTGTGAAGGACGCCGATCAGATCTGGATCAGTCCGCTTAAGGAACGCCCGAGACTATTGTCCCCCGCCCCCGTTGTTCTCCCAGTACGCCTCTCTTACACATATACATGGAAACCAACACTTATGTGTCTTGTGTGCTCGGTGTAGTCTAAAGTTCTCCGGCTGTGCCCAACTTTGTCGCTAAGCGATGGCCTTCAAGGGGGCATGAAGAGGCGTATCGATCCCACGTTGCGACACGTCGTTCATTATGCAGCGCTCTGCGTTGTGCGGAAAGAACACCAAGAAGGGCAGGATCACCAGCCGGTATCTTCGAACTTCTGACTTTAGGCCGCTTCACTTTTTCCCAGCTCAATCGGGCAGCGGTTCGCCTGCCTCCGTGCAAGCCCTAGTCGATCACTCCTTTGCCTCATGGCGGACACGCCCGAGCCAGCCCTTTGTCACGTTCTGCCAGACATTCATAAAGGCTCCCGACCCTCCGTCCTTTCCTCCCCGGGTCCTCCTCAACGCTCTGCGAGCTCTTTGCGAGCACACACGCTCTTCCGCCCTCCCTCACCCTCCCGCATCCTCCTTACGACGGCCAACATGGTCACTTCGCCCCAGTCTCCCGCTTCGCCCACGCCACCGGCGCTCGGCACCTACATTGACAACGGCGCACTCCAGCTCGTCGAGATCCTTGGGTATGGTGGGTATGGTATCGTCTATCGTGCTGTCGACACTTTCTCGTCAAATCCGACATCGTACGCCGTCAAGTGCCTTCCACACTCCAACAAGCGCTCCGCTGTCCGCCAGCGCCAGCTTCACATGCGCGAGATCACCCTGCACCAGCTCGCATCGGGCCATCCGAACGTTGTGACGCTCCACCGTGTCATCGAGGACTACCAGTACACCTTCATCGTCATGGACTACTGTTCCGACGGCGACCTCTTTACGCAGATTCTGCACCAGCGGCGTTATCTGGGCAATAACGCCCTCATCAAGGAGGTCTTCCTTCAGCTGCTCGACGCGGTTGAGTACTGCCACTCTCTCAATATTTATCACCGTGACTTGAAGCCCGAGAACATCCTCTGCTTCGAGGACGGCCTGCGCCTCGCGATCACCGACTTCGGGCTCGCGACTACGGAGCGCATGAGCAACGAGTTCCGCACTGGCAGTGTCTACCACATGAGTCCAGGTACGTCACTTCCAGTTCTCCTTTTCTTCGTCTCCCCCTTTGCTGACAACCCTCTGTAGAATGCCAAGGCGGCTACTTCGCGCCCACGCGGAGCTACTCGCCACTATTTAACGACGTCTGGTCGCTGGGAATCATTCTCCTCAACCTCATCACTGGCCGCAACCCGTGGAAGTCGGCGTCGGCGGACGACTGCACCTTCCAGGCGTATCTCAAGGACCCGCACCGTTTCCTCCCCACCGTCCTCCCCATTTCGGAAGAGGTCAACCTCTTGCTCACGCGCGTGCTCGAGGTCGATTGGCGCAGACGTATCACGCTGCGCGAGATGCGTCTCGCGTTCAAGTCGATCGACAACTTCTACTCGCATGATGTGATCTTCGAGGACTCCATGGCGCGGTGTCCCTGGGAGGCAGGGCTCAACGTTGATCCTGATAGCGACTCCTCCGCCGAGGCGGAGCCCGAGCCTCAAGAAGTTCCGGAGCAGCAGGAGCAACAGGAGGACTTCGCTTCCGCCTGGAGTGATGGGTCCGACTCCGAGATGGTCTTCGCCCGCGAGAACTCGCTCGTCCAGAAGGGCACCACCTCTTCCTGGTCTGCCTCCTTCGACGCTCAGCGCGGCGACGACTCGGCTGCCCCCTCTTCCTACTCACGCTCCATGTCCCCCAGCCCCAACGCCTCGCCCCTATATACTACAACGAAGCTCTTCGAGGCCCTCCAGACCCCCGGACAGAGCCCCGCCTCCACGTACTCTGTTCTGTCTTCCTCGCCCTCGATCCCGTCGCCGCCGGTGACTCCGCATGCGGGAAGCAACTGGGGGGAGAGCCGTGCGATGCGCCCGAAGCTCGTCCTCACTGTCGACACTGACACGCACCGTCCCGAGTACTATGACAACAGCGTCACGATGCTGTCTGCGACCGCATCGTCGATGCATACCGCGCTCGACACCGCGCTCGAGTCGAACTGGGACGGCTACGTGTACTCTCCGCTGGTGACTAGCGCGGTCGAGACCGCGAAGCCGTCTCCCTACGGTGACACGCGCGAAGACTTCGGGATGATCATCACGCCTGCGACCGCCACCGAGGATCACGACATGGACGAGGACGAGTACCCGGAGATCGACACGTACGACTCGCACCCCGGCGCCCCGCGCTCTGAGTCCCCTGTTCTCGGGCTCGACTTGGGCGCGAACCGCGAGCACAACGTCGTCGACGACGCGCAGTCCGAGTACAGCTGGAAGCAGATCCGCTCCTGGCTGAACCCCTACCCCCATGCCGCCACAACCACAGCTGCGAACACCACCGCTTCCAACACCCCCGAGTTCTCTTTTTTTACAGTACAAGCGACGCCCGCACCCTCGCGGCAGCCGTCGCCGCGCGAGCCCGTCACCTGGCCGGCCTTCTCCTTCGGCGTCTCTACCGCGCCGTCTTCCCCGCAGTCGATGCCCGAGAAGCTCCCGCCGTCGCGTCCCTCTTCCCCCGCGCGCCGCAGCACGGAGCGCAAGGCGCGCACGTCATCCTTCCTTCGTCCCATCCGCCTCGCATTCCCTCGCCGTTCCACTTCGCCTCTTGGGCGCCGCTCGCGCTCGCCTGGCCGCGGCAAGACGCGGCAGACGGAGTCTGCCCCCGAAGCACTCGCGAACTGGGTGGTGACCGCGTCGACAAGCGGGTCGCTCGGGCCTCAGGCCTACTTCTGCCTACCGCCGACTGCCGCCGTGCAGCCAACGCACGTCCGCGTGAGCTCTGCGGAGAAGGAGAGCGTGCATCCGACGCACTCGACGTTGACGGAGGACGCGCGTCCGCGGCGCAAGCGGCTCCGGTCTGCGCGCGACTGGTTCTCGCCAGGAAAGCTGTTCGCTGCTGTGCTGCCCTCGTCGTGACTCTCTTCTGTGTCGCACTCGTGGTCGTAAGGTTGCTGCATTTGTAACGGTAACTTATTCCGCATTGTCTGTATTGGTCTTGCATTTTTCTTACTTCTGCATTGCTTTGGCATACACACTCATCTCGCATACACATCATCATCACATCCTGCATTCTCTAATCTTGCATCTGCACTGTTACGACCTTTACGATCGCAATTCACACATACCACCGCATTGTTCTTTTCTCTCTCGCAAATTTTGCTGGCATCCGGTGTCACGTGTAGTCTCGTTCTTGTTTCCTTCGTCGTGTACCAAAAGTTGTACAGTTGTTTTCATATCTTTATCTCGGTAGAACCGTGTACGTTCTAGCTCACATAGTGCCTTGCGATCGGACTGGATCTGTCTCGCAGCCGTACTTTGTTGTATTACTCTTGTCGTCCCCAGCGGAGACCTCACCTCTACCTATGCCCCTTGTATGCCCCTATGCCACACTATGCACACTCGCAATCCCACTCGTTGATATCATTTGCTGATTTGTGTGTGTACCCGACTCCACGCGCCGAAACGATCAATCGTAGGGGATGAAGTAGCTCTCGATGCCGAGTATCTCAGGGTCGAGGTCATCCGATCCATCCTGCTGTTGCGCGAACTCCCAACGATTGAGGTCAGCGCTCCAGCGTGTCCTCAGGACTTGTAGAGATCTGTAACATACCATAATTGTGAACCCAGATGTATCAGCAGCAACAACGGCGGGATATTGATCCCAGTCCTTTGCACCGGACACCCGCAGTCCACGATACACGGTGTAGGGCATACACGCCGTGCACAGTAGAGTTCGGATGGTCTCGTCTGCTGTGTTCAGGGCTGTCGAGTCCAGCACGCGAGAAGTGACCTTGTCTGAGGGTTTGTATGCGCCGGGACCAGGTCTCGCGAGGGGGTTCAGATCATAGATAAGCACCTCAGCCTCCGCCGTCGCCCGCGAGCCCTCCTCGAACTTCAAGAGAACGCACCGTGAACCGAAGGGAGATGCTATAACGCGGACGGGCAAGAATTTCGGTGCTGAGATGTTCAAGAGGAGCGCGCCACCGGGTGCCCAGTCTGCCCACTGGACGACCTGAGCTAGTCCCTGTGCTTTATTTGGTTCATAGTGGCGTGCAAGGAGATTGCGAAACGTAGAGAGGGCAAATAGTGAGGGCCGGGTGCGATCCTCGGACCACTCTTCATCCATCTCCAGGTCGACGGCGATGGTCGCGAGCCCAGGGTCGGGCCAGAAGGGAACGGAGGCCCGAGGGGCGGAGGGGATGCAGGACTCATGAACCTTGGCTTCTGCTGTACGCCGTGGAAGCATCATTGCAAGGACCGGCTGCAGTGTCGGGTGTAAGCTCTTGCCACTAGCACTGTGTGGTTCACTTGGAGAAGGATTGGATGGCTGGGATATGCGGTATACGAGGAGCTCGCGTACGTCCCAGGAATGGGCGGAGACAACGATTTGAGAGTGGTCAATGAAGGCGAACGAGACATCTTCACTGAAGTCGTGATGCTGAAGCGTACACGTGCAGGAAAGTCATGAACATGATACGCATTGCGCGCAGCGAGCTGATTAGCACTTACCCATACTCGACCGCCTGTCTTCCAATTCCAAACTTCGATCTCAGTAGCGACAGAATCGCGTTGACAAACGTGTATCCATGCCAGGTAGTCGCCGCATATCTGTGTCCCCCACATTCCCTTGGATGTTGGGAACTCTAGCGGGTAAGGAGTGCTTGTATGCAGGAAAGGCGCTGCGGCATCCGGATGTGATGATTCCGGATAATTCAGTTTACGGAGATGAATTTTTAGGTCCCTGAACGCGGATAGAACCGCCATAGAATTAAGCTCCGCAGGATGAGCCCATACAAGGAGCAAGCCACTCACTCGCTCGCCTCTGTTGCATACTGGGTTGCAACCAGTAAATCTTGCTGAACGTCCACAGCGACGGTATAGGTTGTCTTTGCCTGGAAAGCGGGCAACCACCGCCCATTCCCGTGGCCTGGCGTGAAGCTCGGGGGACAATAGATCATCGTCTCGCCCTCTCCAGGCTCATGTAATGCATACGTGTGCGAGCTGCCCCGGCACAAGATATAGTGCGAATCAAAGCTATCACCGGCCTCAATGCAGAAGGCGCGGCGACAGGTGAACTCGCCTCGACGGGCCCGAGTAGCGTACGCCCGGAGCTTCGCAAGCCGTTCGGCGATGCACATAGTCGACGGAGGCCCGTCTATCATCCCGTTCTGTGCGAGTTCAATATTGTATTGCAGGCAGAGGTCCGTGCCGACGAGTCGCGCAAATGTGTGGCAGACCTAACATCATCGTCAGAAGGGTTAGCTCGGTCTGAGAGAGGCATCCTGGGACAAGGGGGGAAGGGGAAGCCAACCTGCTTGCAGATCAGGGTTTCGCGAGCATCTAGGCATTTAAAGATGAGTAGCAAGACGTCTTCTGGCAGCTGATCAATGGTATTCCGTTTCTGACTCTGGTCGCTCCTGTCGTTTTCTGTCCCCCACTCATCACTGCGACTCGTTAAGCCAGCCATTCTCATGCTCGGCGAAAGTTGACGTTATCGGTGAGAGAGAGAGAGAGAGACGGACGAGGATGCAAACGCCACTGCCTTTATATAAGGATCGTTCACAGGCTCTGTGCCACAGGCTAGGGCTGACGGCTTCTCTACTTCGCTCGGTTTAATTCTAGACCGCTGAGAAAACATCGCCCCTTTTCGAGACTTGCATGAACCTAGCATCCAAATTTCTGTCATAGTACGCCTTACCACGATTGCTGTGCGAATACAGGTACAGATAGAGGCACTTGTGGGAACGTGAATGAAACACAGGGGCGCGAGCCTATACAGACATCATCTTGCGGTTGTCTGTTGCCCACCCGTCTTCTCTTGCAGTCGGTCTATGAGCTTCGCATCGGGCGCGACCTGCGCGGGAACCTCCAGCTTCTGCGTTCCCTCCTTGCGCTGGGACCGGCTGTCGCCACGGAAGCCAAGGTAATACAGGCGTATAGAGTCGCCGCCAACAGAGTCGCTCTATGAAGCGACGTCGTAAGTCAACTGCGGGAATCAAGGAATATGGCTCGCGTACGAAGAAGATAGACAGGGAGTGGACATTCGCGAAGGACGCCGTGCGCAAGGGGTACTCGGTCACTCCAACTTCTCCCTCAGATAGGCTGATGTTGAGCTGGGGGGTGATGTCCTCTGCTTCAGAGAAGTCGACGATGTTTGAATGGTTCGCGTATATCCGCATTCGTCGGGGTGTCAGTTCACCTCGGCCTGGATCACCGAACACGGTCAGCGGAAGACCTACGAGGCCAATCCAGTTGTACACGCACCTAGCTTGAGCAGAACGGAACGCAGACGGACGTTCTGCGTGAACGGAACATGGATAATGATCTGCATGGTCGAGACGCGTGCTTAGATCCACATTCACGCTGGTCCAAGGGTTGTGTACGGCTGGAGCATGCTCACACACCTGATCGTCCACGCCCGACTCGGCAAACTTGGAAGTGTCCTCCCTCTCATCCCATGGCTTGATCAGGGCCCGGGCGTCCTCTGGAACGGTCAGGTTCAAGCCGTGCACGCTTGACTTGAGATGTTTGCTCTGAGATCAGCAGCACGCACATGTGCAGGCTCACTTCTGTTTGTCAATCGATCCGTACAAGTTCCCCAGGTCTAGGGATCCCAGTTGTTCTGACACAGAGTCGGCGTCGTGAGACATGGAGCAGCGAGGTATTCGACGATGGTGGTATCAGTCGAGGCTTGCGTGAGCCCATCTCGCCGCCACCGCTTGCGCGGCCCGCTGCTTTCCGCTTATGGGACGGGCGCGAAGGTTTCTTGTGGGGCGCCTGCGCGACAGCACGGCGTCGAGCGCGACGTTCACCACCTTCTCTCCAACGCCGCCCCTTCCTCGTCGTCCACGATGGCGATGAGCTCAAAAGCCGCAAGGCTGGCCTTCTCTACATCTGCGCGACAATCATGTCGTCGCTTCCCTCCTGCCGTCTCCACGTTTCGTCACTACTCCACGCCAACAAAACGAGACATCTTGAGCAACGACGACCTCCGGCGAATAGCTCAGGAGCACCAGTTCGCAGAAGCGATTGAACAGAGCCAATACTTCCCGAACCTGATGACCCCCGACGCGCTGCTCGACCTCCACAACAGCAAGACGTTCCCGCCCTCGCGGCACACGCCCTATGCGAACACCGTCGTCGTCCGCAACAACCCCTCCATCTTCCGCGTGGCGCGCGAAATCGAGGAGGGCCAGCGCGAGGAGGCCGTCGTCGTCGACGAGATCGAGAGCTCGACGGACGCCATGAAGCCCATCAAGTTCCTGCACCTGCCCCCCGGCGAGCTGAACAAGCTCTACCGCGCGTCCGTCCTCCGCTTCGTCAAGCAGCAGACGGGCAAGGGCAAGATCGAGCGCATCGCCATCCTCATCGTCGTCGGCAACGGCAACGGCCTGCTCGGGCTCGGCGAGGGCAAGGGCGCGGACTTCCCCTCCGCGCTCGCGAAGGCGTTCCCGCAGGCGGTGCGCAACATGGACTACGTCGAGCGGTTCGAGGACCGGACGATCTGGACGGAGATGGAGAGCAAGTTCTGCTCGACGCGCATCCTCCTCCGCCCACGCCCCGTCGGGTTCGGGCTTGCGTGCAACCCGATCATCCATGAGGTGCTGAAGGTCGCGGGCATCAAGGACGCGAGCGCGAAGGTGTGGGGGAGCAGGAACCAGTACCAGGTCATGAAGGCGATCGTGCGCATGCTCTTGCCAGGGCGCGAGCCGACGCTGATGGGCAACGGCCTTGGGAGGCGCGGGCGGACGATGGAGAAGGGCAAGGAGTTGCGGTCGGCGATGGAGATTGAGCGGGACCGTGGGCGGAGGATCGTGCCGCTCCATACGTGAGCTCGAGGGCACTGCCGGTAGAGTGGTCGCAGCATACGTGTATATTTTGGCTAATTGCAGCACTTGCTCTCGCGAGCGAAGACTCTGGTTGTCTGCTCGCTGTCTGCATAATATCGTCACTTGCAGTAATGGTTCAATGGTTCTTGTCGGTTTGTATCTGCTTGTCCTGTCCAGATTGTCTTCGGGCTTTCTCTCGCCGTCCTTCCTGTTTGTCGTCCGCCCATTGTAACGCGGACAGACGTGGGCCGACAGTGTCGCGCGTACAAAAAGCGCAGCAAGCGAGCCGACGAGCTGGAGGACAAGATGAGCTAATCGCCGAAATGCTCTTTCCTTCGCTGTCTCTTGTCGCGCACTTCGATAATCCGCTGCGATTTATGCATCCTGCAATCCGACGCCGACGCAACTGTATTCTCTTTTCACTACGGCGGAACTTGCGGTGGGTAGTCGCTCCGTATGCATGTCGATATTCGCTGAAGCACAGTAGAACATATGAGTCTACCTTAATGCGTAAAACGCAGGTTTCTCCATCGACGCGGCACATGTATGATGTCTTATTCCAGGTTGCTGGTAGAAACCTGCCGTATGACCTCCAGAACAGCTTCATGACCTCATTCTCACTAGAAGAGGCAAAGAAAAGGAAGCGTGAGGGCTCTTCTATGCGCCCTGATTTTGCAGATCCAGGGTGTGCCTCCTGTGAATGTCTTGTGCCTTTGATACCAGTGAGGAACACGGTGCGCAGACCAGAAGAGCAATGCAACCGAAAGTGCCCAGCTGCAGGAAAACAAGCGTGTCTCCATTGATTGTTAACAACGCTGCATCAAGAGCCGACTTCGGTGTACTCATTTCCGCGAGGCAACGACTCCGTTTGTGCGCCAATGCTCCTCGTCTTGGCGGTGATCTGTCTATTCTGTTCCCAGTTGTGCTGTGTACATTATCCTTGTCTCCTTCGATTTGCTGACATTACAACATCACAGGTCTACAGACATGTACAATCGAAGCCAGAAATATACAAGAGCGCGACAGCCAGTCACTCGAAGGTCATCATGGAAGGTTTGCAGAGGATCGGGGTGCCCATCTCAATCCCAACCGTCTATATCAAGCCGAAGTCAGCAAGTAGAGCAGAGGAGCAAAGGTGCAGGCTGCCACGCACTGTCGCTCTTAGGTTCCTCATCGACCTTCGGGTGGATGAAGTGGTTCAGGATCGGACCGTCGTTGTTCTCTGTGGTCGAACGACGTCAGCATGGCCTGCGGCAGAGCTGTATGAGGAGTCTGAGGAACTCACGGCGGCGCTCGAGGGCGGCAGGCGCGGCCTGGACGACCAGCGCAAACGCAAGGACGAGAAGAGCGAGGACGGAGCGCATGATGGCGTCTAGAACGTCAGTGAGGTCAGTGCACTGTTACGGGAAGGAGAGGGGACAAGGGTCACGATACCGTTTGGGGCAGGTCCGGAGGGCGGAGATGGTCAGAGGGCCGCAAGAGGTGCGTATAAGTACTCTAGGCCCTCTCCGAACCTTCACAGCAATGCGCTGTGCTCCTGGCCCGGCCGCTACGGAAAGGAAGGACAATTGTGGAGTGGCGGCAAGTCGCACCGCGCGTTGCGTGCTTGCTTCGCGGAGTCAATCTTTTGCCAGTGCGGTACGGCCGCAGGTGCCAGCTTCTGCGCGGGCGCACGCGCGGTGTTACGCACCGGGGCTAAGAAAGCGTGCGGGAAGCCTGTTGGAAGCTAGAATTGGGTGTCAGGCGAGCGAGGCGACCACGTCCTCGAGACCCGCGACACCCCTACAGCCCGTCTGTCGGTGTCGAATGCGGAGTGATGGACCGGACTGATCTCGGTAAACCCCACGCAGTCATCGTGTCGATCGCCTGCAGCATACCGCGAGCTTTGTAAGTACTGTTGAGCGTTGCTCGCGCATGTGCACTGTGCAGTGGCTAACGTCTGCAATCCCCATCTGACGCGTTACGACCGCCGCTTAGCGTGCGCCACAACGGCTTTGGCGGCGGCTATCGCGCTCGTCCGTATATCAGCGACGCGATCGGAGTGGTTTGCACTCCGAAGCTTCCCTCTAAGTAGCACACTCCGGTGAGCCCACTTCCGTCATCAGAAACGCCTAGGCCATTGGCGCATAGCGTGTCGACAACCCGTTCTGGTTGCGCTACTCCCACCCCAACCCCACGGACCCACGTGTGCTTATCTGCGGAACAGCAGATGTAAGGCCGGATGAGCGCGCTTCAAATGGGAGCAAGCTGCGTCTCGTGTGCAGACAGGCCGTTAGCATTTGCCTCCGAACAGCTCATCGTCTTCTAGTGGTTGATACGCAGGTTGGCGGACTCCAACGACGAGCAAAGGAGACCAGAAGAGGCGGGTTGCATCGCACAACGGCGGATGGCCGCATGGCGCCACCCTAGCCTTGTTCGTTCACGGGCCGTTTCTCATGCCGGGAGCTCTCCGGGGCTTAGTGGCAGTGCGCTCCAATGGTCTGCTCACAGTCTGTCAGCCGGCCTACATACGTTACCCACCTAATACGCAGTATCCCGCCGGAAGGCTCCTGTGGTACGTACACGCCCTACTGTCCTGCTATCCCGCGTCCTCCAAGCCCTTTCTGACTAGCTTGTCAGGTAACAGGTCGACCATTCGAGTCCCATTGCCGTCCAGTGGCATCCCATCCTGACATTTGCGTCGCGGATGACATGGGAACTCGCTAGTATGTCGTCGGTTGCGCCGTTGTAGCGCCGCCCGGCGTCCGGTTATCATGAGAACTTTCGCTTGCAAATACCCGCAGCTGGCGTGCAAGCAAAAGCCTCCGCGATTGCAAAGCGTCTAGTGATCGCGCGGCTTCCTTCCCTTCCCCCGACCTTCCCGAGCTGACGACCGACTCCCCAGCTCGAGTCCCCTGCGGCTTCCCGCCAACATGGTGCACTTGACGAACGACCTCACGGCTCTGATTGGGTTTGCGTGCGAGGCTACGCTTTGGGGTAGGTTCTCACCATTCTGTCTGTTTGGCTTGTCGGACTGATCGTGGGTTCTGATTGCTCTCACAGGAGGGTATGCAATCCTGTTCATCGTCTCGATCATCCTTCTCCGTCGACGAAGCCTCAAAACGGAGCTGAGCACGCCTGTCGTCGTGGCTCATGTCGCGCTGTTCATAGCTTGCACAGTGCACTATGCGCTAGAGTTCAATCACTTCTATACGACCCTGGTGCGTCGACTACCTCTTGTGATGCCTGCTGAGCGAGTCGCTGACTACCCAGCTTTGAAGGCGGCAAAGGGCGTAGATGGATACGCAAACGAGACGACACAGCTCGTCGGAGCCGACATCTTTCTCTCGCTATGTGATCTTCTAGGAGACTACATCCTGATTTACCGTTGTTGGGCACTGTGGGGCCGGAACTACTGGATTATCGCCCTTCCATCCATGTGCGCCATCGCGGGCTTCGGTGCGTGTCGCTCTTCCCTACGCCCCACACTCGCACACACATTCCTTCCCAACCGTCCCGACTCCCACGCGCCCGAACGCGCACGCTGACCGCCCGCCTGCGCACCACGCAGCCTGCATCATGCAAGTCGTGCACTACGTCGTCACGCTCGACCCGACGTCGCCCACCCCACCCAAGCCGATGCTCCCGCTCACGCTCGCGGGCTACTCGCTGCCCCTGTGCACGAACGTCATGGCCACCGCACTCATCATCGCCCGCATCTGGTGGCTCTCGCGCCCGACGCCCGGCACGGAGGGCGCGTTCCGCTCCGCGCGTGCGATCTCGCGCTCCGCGATGGCGACGATCGTCGAGAGCGGCGCGCTGTACCTCGCGATCCAGCTCACGTACGTCGTGCTGCTCTCGCTCGAGAACCCTGTGGACGCGATCGTGGCGGTGATGGCCGCGCAGATCTACGTGCGTCCATTTGTGTTTGTGCCTGTGTCCTAGGGGGGGATTGGCGTTGCTGACATGAACGGATCGGGAATTTCAGGGTATCGCGCCGACGCTCATACTCATCCGCGTCATGCTCGGGCTGTCGGTGGAGACGACGATGGAGCCGGGCGCCGCGACGCCTATGGTCTGGGCGTCGGTGTCGAAGAGGTACACCACCACGCACGAGCAGAGCAAGATGGGACTCAGCGTGGACACGGGCGGCAGCACTGCGGCGGGCAGCAGCAGCACGAAGGTGTACCACACGGACTCGGATTCGGTCGAGATGAAGCCTGTGGAGGAGGTGTAGTTGCATCGTTGTTGAACTTTTTAGTGTTATCGCTCCTTTATCGTGCGTTGTACGAACACATGTCCTGCGGTGCGGATTGCGCTTTATACCATGTGTATATGTACATCTATTTCTACTACCACAATGCGATCCCTTCTGCCGTCTGCCGTAACGTGAATTACACTTCCGCTAGCCGAATATGAAGAAATGAAAGTCGCGCGATCGCCTCGTCGCAACTGAAAAGATACAAGGCGTCTACTTTACAACAGTGGTCGCGACATTGAACGAGAACGAAAGGAGCGCATACAATCAGTTTCTCCACAACCAGGTTCACATCCCCCCCTTCAGCTTCACGACGTGCTCATACGTCTCGTCCGGGTTGATCTTCCCGTCCGCCGGCGGCACCGGGCTCTTCGCGGGATGCTCCTCCAAATACTTGCGCACCACCGTCCAGTCCTTGCACCGGTGGATCGAGTTGATCCCGTCCGCGGCCCACATCCAGTCCCCGTCCTTCTCCTCCCGGTACGCGGGCTCGAGCGTGACGTCCGAGTTGCAGAGCACGATCTGGCGGAGGTAGCGCGTGCAGTGCTCGACGTGGCGCGCGAAGCCCGTGCGGTTCGTGGCCATCCCGACGCGGATGACGTCGAGGCAGTGCATCTGGTGCAGCATCGACGGGAAGAACGTGCGGTTCATGGGCCCGAGGTCGGTGAAGCCCACGGTCTCCCCGGGGTACTGCGCGCCCCACTCCTCGTCGGACAGGAGCGAGAAGTGCGGCGCGGGGTTGTTGAGCGCGAGGCCGACGCTGGGGAGCTTGACGGGCAGCTGCGAGGGGAAGTCGTCCCCGATGTACGCTGTTGGGGAGGTCATGTCAGGCGGGACTCGGTCGATGGGGAGTGGTACTAGGAAGGGCTGGACGTACAGTAGACGCGGGGCGGGGGCACGAGCTTGTCGAAGACGTTGACTATGATGCCCAGAAAGACGACGTTGACGGCGGTCATGAAGACGAGGGCATACGTCAGGAGTCGGATGACCGACTTGGGGTCGGAGGCGAGTGCCATCGTAGCTGTAGGTCCCGAGTCGCGCGTGCAGCTGGGAAGGGGGCTGGCACCTTGAGCAGCATTGTATTATTATGAAGGATTCCCGCGATAGTGCGTTCCGATCTCAACACTGCGAACCTCCCAGCGCTGCACCGCGCTGCGCGCCCTTGAAAAACGCGGCAGAGCGCGCTGTCCTCGTCCCCACTTCCATCTGCCCAAACCGGCGCGAGAACTTCTAGCGTCGGAAGATAGCCTCTGCGCAGGCAGGACCCCGGAAATGCCCTCCTCGAACTTTCGCGCCCACATCACCGAAAATGGTCTGCTCCGAGGCTCTCGATGGGTGCGAGTGAGGCGAGGACGCTGCTGCGGTCTCGCGCGGCCGGCTGCAATGCAGCCGGACCCACATGACCCGCATACCCTGGCTTTCGAATCGTTGGCACAATAAGCGTGTAAGTAGCATTTTAGCAACGTCTGTGGGTCTATATCAGACTTCCTTGGAATCGTGTATGTCGACCGCGTGCCGCGGTTGCTGTAGTTCGCAACTCGGAAGATGCACAAAGAGTGGACGATCCCATAGTGGGTATCTCCACACGGCATTTGGACAAGCTCCCGAGACCGGAGCGCGGCAGACATCCCGTGTGAGCGCGGTCGAAGTGCTGCTAGACCTCACTTAGCCAGATCCTGAGAAAAGGAAGCGGGTGTTCACCCACCTTCCGGAAGAAATATACATATAGCCATTACCTGTGTGAGGTTACCATCCCACCTGCTGGTATCTCTCGCAGACACAAGACGTCGTCGCAGTAAGTGATCACCTACTTACAGTGGATAGAGGGAATCCTGACGGACTACGGTTTGTTCAGTCATGTCGGGATACATACACCTCGCCGGCGACAGTGTCGAAGACACCACCAAGGACCAGGCTTCCAAGGAAGCGCTGCTGTCCGCCGACTCCGAGCATGATCAGTGGTCCGACGAGCAGACGTCGACTCGAGCCCGAAGCAACCTGCGAGGCGTTGTGTACATCGCGCTTGTCCTGCTCCTCGTGAACGTCCTCGTGTGGGCGATCGCGGGGTCGAAGCTCAGGACCATCTATCACACCATCCAAGACAACTTGGACGTCGTTGACACGCGCCTGCTCCCCCGGCCCGATGTAGGGAACGGCGTAAAGCTGACAGCACAATCACCATGAGGAGCACTAGTAGGAGCTGGTAGCGTTGATGCACGCGGAGACGTGTTACGCGGGGTGTACTCACCTCTGTAATCAGAGGATCTCGCTGTAGACCAAGAAGATAGCAGGGGACACTGTATGACTTGAAGCACAACACAAGGCCAAGCTTGTTGTCGAGGACAGACTTGCGGGGAAACACCAACGCATATCTGAGGTTCAAATTGAACCATCTGAGTCCAATTCTACCACAAGCGCTATTATTAGATGGGTATCGTCCTGTTAGACGCCGCAGACGATCACCCTCAACCTTTGCCTTGCACCCATCGCTCCGAGTCCGGGATGCCTGGCATTGCCTGCAAGCTTCTTGCTCCGCCTTGTCGGACGGAAGCATGTGCAATCACTATCAGACGATTCGGAAGCCCCGGACGTACTTAGATGCATCCTTGTCAAGAAGCGCTGATACTGATGCTTTACAGCCTTCAGGCATTCCTTTCCCATGGCGCGCACGAGCAACTCCCGCATCTTTCCTTGTCTCGCGCGCCGAGCGAGCCGCTCTCCTCCTAGCGTGACGGTGTCCCCAACCGGTATCCGACTCGGCGATAGATGACACAGCCGCAGCTGCAGCTCACGGTACGTCACGGTGCACAGGTCGAACGACCGCCCGGGCCCTGAGCGCTGCATCTTACTGGCACCCAAGGTCGTCTGTCCACGATCACTGAGAGCCTTCGACACCTCTACCTTAGGCACACGGCACTCCATGACACTTGTAGTGTGGATTGGCACCCTTCTCGGGGCTTTTGTGCTCTGGCAGCTTGTAGGACGACTTTCGGCGCCCAACGGTTTGGCGACCGTCGCTGGACCGCAGAGAGAACGTTGGCTGACCGGTAGGTTTGCACGATCACGCTTGCTGTTGCTGTTGTAGTGCGTCGCCTCGTTTCCGCGGTATGCTGACAAGTTGTTCCATTTACAGGTAACTTCCACAGACTGTTCAAGGACGGTCTCGAGTACAATCTAGGGCTTATTCGTCAGTATGGCGGTGTGGTAAAGGTCTACGGGCCTCTTGGGGTACGTATTCAGATGACTGCGTAATGACGGAACAGGCGCCTGACTCGGACTTTACAGGCCCAGCAGCTACTGGTCTCCGACCCGCGTGCCTTGCACCACGTCGTTGTCAAGGACCAGGACGTCTACCATGAGACTGATATGTTCCTCATGTGGGTCCTGCGGTCCAACGATAGCCTGTTGGGAGTTCTCTGACAGTGTGCTTATAGGACCAACCACCTTATCTTCGGCGAGGGTCTGATCGCAACAGTCGGTCGGTATTCTTGATTGCAGCGGGGAATACAGACAGTGAACCGAATGTATGTAACGCAGGGGAGCAGCACAAGAAGCAGCGCAAGATGCTTAATCCGGTCTTCTCGCTCGCCAATATGCGAGCGGTGCTGCCCACAGTCGCGCCTATCGCAAATAAGCTCCTCGAGCGCATTCAAGCACAGCTTTCGGAAGGTGGGGGTATGTGTGTCTACTCCAAACAAGTCTCAGCTACTGGGGCGCTGACATGGGCCTGCTCATTAGGTACAGCTGAGATCGACGTTCTCCCTTGGGCCGGGCGCGTTACCATGGACCTTTTGGGCGGCGCGGTCTTGGGCATATCACTGGACGCCCTGGACCCCGAGAAGACGAAGGAGCACGCGCTCACCATTCGCAAAGTCAGGTACGCAGAACGCGAGTTCGCTTCCCTGTGCAACCATTTATGGCCCCCACGCAGCCGCGCGGCTCTGAAGGTGCTCGTCCTTCGACCGTTCATCCCGATGGCCGTCCGGAATTTCTCGCTCTACTGGCGCAACAAGATGGTCGACTGGCTGCCGTGGCCGGCTCTGCGCGAGATGCGCGAGCTGTCGCGCACTCTGGATAGGTGTGCGCGGAACGTCTTCCATGAGAAGAAGGATGAGCTGGAGAACGGCATCACGAACGATTACGACGGCCCGCGGAGGAGCTTGATGACTATCATGCGTAAGTCCTGTGATGGGATGTTACTCGCAGCGCGTTGGCCTGGTGCTGAGTAGCGAGCAGTGGAGGCGAACCAGTCCGGCTCGGAGAAGGAACGATTGACTGATGAAGAGCTCATCGGACAGATCAAGTACGTGGTCCCCGCGCCTTCATAGTTTCTGTAGCTTGTTTCACATTCTTTTGACCTCCTATAGCACCCTTCTCATCGGCGGTGACACGGTGACAACCGCCGTGGCGCGCGTCTTCTGGATCCTCGCTCGCGAACAGGGCGCACAGGCACGTCTACGGAGCGAGATCAAGAAAGCAAAGATGGCGATCGCGGTCGACGACGGCATGGAAGACGAGTGGGAGAAGGTTCCTCTCTCGTACGACACGCTCGTCAGCCTGCCCTATCTCGACGCCGTCGTGCGCGAGACCCTGCGATTGTACCCCCCGACCAGCCTGATCAACCGCGTGTACGTCATATGCATATGTGGCCCCCCGTTGTTCTTGCAGACGCGACGCTGAGCATTGCATCCGACAGCGCGACAAAAGACGCTGTCCTCCCTCTCCAAGACCCCATCCGCACGACGGCCGGCGAAGAGACCACGGCGGTGCACGTGCCCGCGGGGACGAACATCATCATCTCCATCCTCGGCTCGAACCACAATAAGCGGATCTGGGGCGACGACGCGGACCAGTGGCGCCCCGAGCGTTGGCTGACTGCAAGCGGGGAGCGCATCGGGTGGGGTAAGAATGTCGACCTCGCGTTCGACGACGACGCGGAAGGTCATGTCGCGGAGGGCACGCCGGGGTACAGGAATGGGGTCAAGTACCCCGGGGTCTACGCAACTATGTGAGTTTATTGGGAGTTGATGTGGCACGGAGTGCTGACGGTGTGGCTTGGCAGGATGACTTTCCTCGGCGGTAGTCGCGCCTGCATGTGAGTAGGACCAGCAGCTGAGAGGTGTGCGGTACTTTGCTGACGTTGTTCGCTTTCCGTTGCAGAGGCTTCAAGTTCGCGGAGATGGAGCTGAGTAGGTCGCCCGTGTTCTACGCCCTTGTTCTCGTCTAACGCAGCGCGCGTGTTTTGCAGAACAAGTCCTAGCGACGCTCATCTCGTCCCTACACTTCTCCCTACCTTCTGCGACCAACGAAGACGGCGTGCGCAAGGAGATTTATTGGCGCATGGACGGCTTGCAAGTCCCCGTTGTCCTTCCGCCGCATGGAGATGGCAAGTCTCCAAGTGTACCGCTGGACGTGAGGGCTGCGAGAGAGACCGATTTCTTGTAGGACGCACCAATGCAATGTGATCAATATGTATCAACCAATCATCCATGTTCCGGAGTCATAGAGGATGTCTTCGCTCCGCAATGGAACCCCTGGTACCAACGGCGTAAGCTGAGATTAGAAGGATGCATCAACAAATGCAAGGCAACGTGGTAAGTTTCAGTCGAAGATGCTACTACCCACTCCTCAAAAAGTTGAGAAGGCATAAGGAGATTCGCATATTCGTTCCACTGTGTTGAACAACACCCATTAGTCGTGGTAGTAAACGGAGAATTTGAGTAGAATTCCGGTTGTGGTTCTTTGAATCAGCGAACGAATTGGCTTACTAGGGCAGCATGTGCGAAGATATACCCGGAAGGCACCTATCCAAAAGCTCAAGGGATATTTGGATGTTGAACGTTGACCATACTGTTTGATTAGTTTGGTGAGGGCCGTACGCGGCCAAACGGGTTCGACCTTTTTGGCAAATCGAGCGCCCGTTAATGATGCCGTTCCGCCGCGCGTTTCGGACAAGGTTACGCTCGCCTTATTCATCACCTACTGTGGCTCGCAATGCCAGCGGCCGCTCCTCAGCCAGATCAAAGCACAACTGGACACTCGCATTGCGGTCTACTGGCGCCGACATCTCCACCAGCCTAGAGGAGGCATCGACCGGGGGTACGTCCGACTCCTTGTCAGTATCAGAGCCTGCAGTCAGTCTTTCGTCACGGCGGCATACACACACACGTGCGGTAGTTCACGAATTCCTGTACAGCGAAAGCCTTCCGTCAATGTTTGGGCGTAGCAGTGTGCATGATCGTACTCATGTCCGGCACCATTTGTCTTTAAATGGAAAGTGCTCCATGGACAATGCAAACTTGACCAGGAAGGAGTCGTTGTGGCCTTCAAAGCTGCCTGCGGTTCGTGGCTCTTTGTTGAAGTGTGGCCACATCAGTCTAGGTCTTATAAAACCGCACTCTCCGACATGCATTTCAAAGCGCCATGTGCCAAAGCGCATGATGAGCTGCATCCCTTTGTGAACAATGGTAAGGCATAGACTGTCTGGTAATTCATCCTTCAAATGGTATATATTTTCTCTAATTCGATCAGGATATCATAATACGTTGAAGCGTTGCCTATAGTGAAGCAGTCTATTATGAAGGAAAAGGCAAGGTCCGCTTTGTGAGGCCCACATATTCATGACAGGGACGGGTCTACCGCTCGTTGCCAAAGCGTCCTGTCACAACTCTTTATATACGCAGCTACTTCAATCCAACAAACGGAACCATCACCTCCACATTCACCATTGCGTTACCCCTTTCCCCCTATCACCGCCAACCGCCGACCAACCACGCGATGAACAGCACTCAAGGCCGCGGGAAGATTCCTAGGCCATCCAACTGCTTCTTCCAGTACCGCGCAGCAAAGCTCAAGGAGCTCCGAGATGAAGCGGCAGCCCTCGGGCTCAAACGCCCCTCCCAGAGCGAGCTCTCAAAGATCATTGGGCGAATGTGGAGAGAGGCGCACCCGAACGAGAAGGATTTCTACGTCGACAAGGCAGCGCAGGAGAAGGAGGCGCATAAGAAGGCATACCCCGACTACCACTACCGACCACGGAAGAGGGCCAGACAGGCGGAGGAGGATGCGAGACAAACAGATCATGACCGGCAGCCACCTTTTGTCTCTTCGCAGACGTCCACGGCGTCTATTCCGTGCCCGGGCATCGGTGCCACTCCAGGGCTCGTTCTCGGGCCATCCCCCAACGCTGACATCAAGCCTAGGGTTCATCCATCCACCCAGCTCAGCAGTCGCCGAGGTGGCCGCGCAAACCAGGTACGTCTTCGTGCGCGCTACCCCCTCGGCGACTATTGACGATGCCGGATAGGTGCGTGTGGAACCACAAGAATCTGCACCTGTCAGCAAGCGACGGAAAGAAATATCGGAGGCGCCGTTCCTCCCGGGTCAACCATGGGTATTTCATGCCTCCAGGGCGGGCTTGGAGCCACTAGACGTACATATACCAATGCCGCCTCTGCTTCCATACGGAGGACAACTCGGGTGGCAACCAACGGGGTCGGTCGCGGTACGTCATTCTTTCAATCTTTGTGGTTAACAAGCACTCACACGCCTACCGACTAGCCCCCGCAAGCGCCGCACGTGGCTATCACGCCCCTGCCGCCATCGCAGCACAAGTCGCTCCTCGACGAACTCTATGATCCCAGGCTGTCATACTGGGAGACCGCTTGCGCGCCACTCAACGCCGGCTTCTGCGAGTTCGCGTCCTTCGGTCTCGGCGGCACCAATGGTGTACCGGATGCTTCATCCCCGAATCCTCCTGACTTAACTGATAGTGCCTCCTCACCCGAGAGCGTGTCGGACGGTTGGGGCAGTCAGACGTTCACACTACCGACGCCGAGCCCTCCTTCTAGCGGCTCGGCCTCGGTACTGTCCTCGGGCGACGATATATCGTCAGTCGATTTCATGAGGTTCTTCAATGCAGATAACTACGCGACCGTGCCAGGGTCCGCGTCCCTCGCATATCAGGACATGGCTCAGCCTTTCCTGTTCTCACCTAAGGTCGAACCAGGGCAGACCCAACATCTGCGCGACCCGTTCCATGCCCTCCCGCCGAACGCCGTGTGGCCGAAGCATTTGGGCATCTAGGCAAAAAAAAATATCGCGTTTTATCTTGACTGTTGACATACTGTGTATTAGTGGTTGAGCACCATTGTTGGTCTGCTCCCCTTCCGACTCTTGTGACTGTCATATCATCGCCCAGCCTCCTTCCATCGCCTTTTCCCTCCGAGTTCTCGAGCGCATTTCTCGATCATGAGGCCTCTGGCACACACTTCACACCTCCATTCGAGCGACTCTAGATATATTTCGAGCATTCCACATTTAATGGATCTTCCCCTGGACGTTCAGTATCTTCTACCTTTACACATACAGGTCATCTCACCTTGTTTTTGTCTATACCTTTACACTTCGCCCTTACCTTTGCATATAGTTAACGGCCTCAAGTTCAAGCTTGATTCATATCTTCGCTGTTATATTCTTGTATTCGTCGCGTCTTTCGCCTCTGTGTATCCCATCAATAGAACGCCTCCCACCTCTCCATAAAGAGCACACCAGTGCGAGCGTTCTGAGGGAATCACCCTCGACAGTTATGACATCAACCGAGAGTCACAAAGCAGATTTGACTATCCTCTCACGAGCGAACGGTCCAACTACGTAGCTACGCTTTTCTCTTCCTCGTCTTTGCCCCCGCACTCGGCGTCTTGAGCAGCGGCGGTTGCGCCCCCGCCCTTGTGCTCTTCCTCCTACCAAATCTGACAGGCGACATAGGCTCGGGCGAGGACGAACCCACGCTCCCTCCCGCTGCAGACAACCTGCTCGACCTCCTCGTGACCGGCGCAGCACTAGCGACATCAGACGAACGCGTCCTGCGTGTCGTGCGGCGTGCAGGGGTAGGCGCGGGGAGGGGCGCGATGTCGTCCTCTTCTTCATCCTCCTCTTGCGCGTCCGACTCGTCCATCAACCCTCCCGGGATGCTCCGGCCGAGATTTTGGTCCTTGACGGACCGACGGGAGCGCGTCGACGTCCTCGTGCGCACAGGCTCCGGCTCGGGTTCGTATGCAGGTTCAGGCTCTGGCGGGGGGTCGCGGGCTGCTCCCCGTGCGTTCACGGTGGCACGCATGCGCTTGACCTTGCCTCTACCCGTAGACGCGCTTCGTTCCTGCTCCTTCTCCCCATAGCCCTCGCCCTCACCATCATCTTCAGGCAAGAACGCCCCAGGAGGCAACATCGCCTCTGTCTGGGTCCTCGCGAGCCTCGCCCCGCTATTCGTCGCGATCTTCCTCGAGCTCGAGCCAGCCTCCTCGTCCCTGCTGCGGCGGAAGACGGAGACGGAGAACTCTCCAGAGACATCCATGTCCGCGCTATCCTCCAAGTGGCGCGCCACGGAGGCGGACTCATCCGGGTTGCCTCCCACGCCCCGCGCATCATCGCTCTCGCCGTCAGAGAGCTCGGAAAGCATGCTGATGTCTGCGTCGTGCGGGCCCCTTATCGAGGACACGGACAGGTTCGCGCTCGCCTCCGCGTCTGCGCCCCCGACAGACATTCGACCCTTCGCAGGCTTGGACTTCCCCGAGATCGAGGTATTGCCGAGCTCGGAGAACACAGACACAGGCGTGGGCCGGGAGAGAGATGCGAAGAGGTTGGGACGTTTCGCACTCGTAGAGGCGGCTGGGGGTGGCTGGTAGAACGCGTTCGGGGCGGCGTTCGCGCTACCTGCGGTGTCGAATAGAGACTTCCCAGAACCGAATATGCTTGGGATTGCGGAGCCGTTTGGCGCAGAAGCCTTAGATAGCCAGCCGTTGGTAGTCGTTGAAGCGGCGGAAGCAGAGGGCTGAATTGTGATGCCGCCGAATGTGAGGGGGGCCGAGGGTGGCTTGGGCATTTGTGGTGCAGGGGGAAACGAGGACGTGCCAGCAGTGATGGGCGGGCCCATGCGGGATATCGACGGGAATACCTCTTCTACCGCAGGAGCGATCGGTGCAGGGCCGCCGAAACGTGGCGCATTCGACCGCTGCGGTATAGGCGGGGTAGGGGGCATGACGGTGGTTTTGATGACGCTCGCGCTGGGGGATGGCGCGATGTGCTCCCAAGACATACTCGCGCTCAATTCCGCCGTCTTGCCCCCCTTACTAGTGCCCTTGCCCTTGTCTCCGCTAATGCCGCGACCTTGCGCAAATTGCTCCAGCTCGAGCTCAAGGAGGTTGCGCTCCGCAGCAGGCATCGTGGCCATGAGCTCGTCCATCATTTGCCTGCGCTCGTGCGCCGCCTTCTGGCCCTTGTCACCGCCACGCGACACGGACGAGAATTGGCGGTCGAGCTTGATGGCGGCAGCGTGCTGCCCGCTTTGCACGAGACGCACGCAGACGAGGTCCTGGATAATGGGAATGGAGGACACGGGAAGGTGGGAAGGGGGGTCGAGGGCATAGCCGTGAACGAGGTCTTGCTCGTAGCCGGAGAAGGGAAACGCGACAAGGTGCGTTAATGGGGTCTTGCGTGGTGCTGCAGCGCGACATTGCTGAGGATAACGCATAGAGGAACCATAAAATATGCACTTACGCGTGAGACACCAGTCCAAGATTTTGCGTATGAGGCGTTCGCGCGTATCGCTCGCTTCAGAGAACGAACGCTGGTACGACCACGCTTCTAGAAGGCTCGACTCTGCCAACGCAATCGTGTACGCGTCAATATCGTCAGGCTCCGTCAAAAGTGGTTTAGCTGTCCTGATGTATCGTCGGATGAGGGCGTGCGAGTCTTCAGACAGTGACAATGCTTCAATGACTTTGGACGTGTAGTCACGATTCAGACGCGCGTCACTCAGGATGGACACGGCTTTCTGCAGACCGTTCGGTTTAGAGCACGGATGTGGGAAGGGGGAGGCAAACGCACCTGTATATGGATACCCGAATCCAGATGCCAATACGCATCTGAGAGGGCCGTGAACTGGGGCAGAATGGCTTTCACTTTACTGAAATCGCTCTCCCGGCCATCCTGATGCCACTTCAGGAGGAAGTACACGAGACAATCCTTCTTCAGGGCATCGAATTGCGAATGGGAAATTGCTTCTAATAGTCGCCTCAGGCCGTCTGGGCTACGCGGAGGGTAGAGCGTTTCAGGATGTCGGATACCGCCTGATGTAAGGAGTATGTCGAAGATGAGCACGTCGGACATGTGTGCGCGTCGCATCTCGATTTCTTGAGGCCGAGGGTCGCGCCACGCAAAGTGCTCATCATCCATATCGAAATATAGAGCGTAGTTGTCCTCCTCCATAGACATTGATATATCCTGGTCTCTTCAGCAAGGCACAGCTGAAGTACTGAGGAACACTTACGAGATCCATGGCAGGTGATACTGTGTGCGTGCTGAAACAACAAGTGAAGGGTACAATGGCAGAATACACGTGGGTGTAAGTGTCGGTTGGGTCGTGGACGTCGTAATCTGACAAGCGCTTCCGATGAAAAAAAACAGTAGCCTCGGTGGCGAGATTCTCGACGTTGGAGGCGGCGGCGGCGGCGAGGACGGTGGGAGGGGTGGCGAGGACGCCGCGGCTGTCGACGACCAACTACACACGCCCGCGCCACAAGACGCCATGCACAGCGCGATAAACTGGATGCAGTATTTGCGGCGGATGGCCTTAGCCGTATATGCGTCGTACTCGTTGTCTTTTGGAGGCGGCTTCCTATTCTCAATAACTAGGAGCTGGGACAGTAAGCTTATGTGGGCCACTGCGTCGTGGACATGGGCGCTTGTGACTTGCAGTCTGAGGCAAGCCATGGCTGCGAACTGCTCTGTAGGTCAAGTCAGCGGCAATAGGGACCATGAGGGTATCTCGTACTTTATTTAAAAAGTAGCTTTGTCTGAAGAAGTAGTAGATGCTCATGTCGGATTGGAAGTGGGAGCCGTGGACGTCGGAGGCGCAAGGCACCGACGGGGAAACATAGGACCCCCGATTATTCTCCCAAAGGAATGATGCCTGATCCGGACAAAATTGGCCACCCAAAAAGGCCTATGCCTGATCCAATCCGGCCAAATCGACGTCCAAATTCTGGATGGCCTGGTGCCAAAGTCCGGACAAAACTGGTCCAACCAGGCAGAGGCCTGATCCCCATCCGCCCTTAGGCGGCCCGGTGTTGGATGATAGCTACCCGGTCCTGACCAACAGTATCGCTCATTGATCACCAAGGCTTGCAAACCGGTGTCGCTATCTCTTTTTCCTTGTATCCCGGAACATAAAAGGACGTTTCTGCATTTCCGGCGGTGAATAGAGAAATTGCGCAAGAAGCGCTGGAGGGCAAGAGGTAGGGCAGCCTGCTGAGTGACAGAATGTCTTGCCTCTCCATTTGCAAGATGACCCCTAGCATATTCTATGTTGTCCAGATTGCCGTAGATCTCTCAAAGAAACAATATGGACGTTCCCTGAGCGAAAATTTAGCCTCTGGGCGCCTGATCTGCCCAAACCAGACAACATCATGCCGCCAGATGGCCTGATCTATAGTCCGGCCAAATTTGAGCACAAATCCGGAAGGCCTGGTCGAATCCGGACAGATTTGGCTCCCGGAAAGGCCTGATCCTTCGGACATTTATGGCAAGATTTTGGAAAATCGGATCATTCCTCTGAGTGAATAACCGGGGGTCCTGGAAACATCGGGAATCCCCGTTGTTGCTGTAGGCATTTGCCGAGAGTGTTTTCGGCTCCGCTTCAAAAGGATAGCGCCTCGACGCGTCATGCACGTGACGATACCGTCGCTGTTGAACGATGACACGACGAAGCCGCTCGTCCCTGAACTCCAGTAGGTAGGCCACGTAGGTTGCGCCCAACTAAGTCGGCACTTCAGCATATCCTTCCTTTTCGATCAACTCCAACGGATCGAATAGGCTATTGTCTCACTCATTTTCACCGCCCATTGCGTCGTACATAGGGGTACACCTCTACCACTTCGGTGCATATGTGTCTCAATGATCGCTTCGGCTCCAGAGTGGTATGGCCGCTCGTCTTTCGGTCCTCGATTGGTATTTGATCCCTTCCTACATTCCCTGGAGCAAATCCACTGAAAAATCCGTTCCGTAGCTTGGCGAATGGCGCGCCGTGTTCCTCTACATCCTCCTGAGCCTCGGGTACGTCTTCCTTCCCATCTCTTCCCTAAATTTGTTTGTCTCTCGCCATGTAAGCCGTGTGCCTCCGCATGTGTAGAACGGAGTTCGCCGTCTGGCGAGTCCCTCGACTCGTGGGCGCCGTGGTCGCCATCTCCGTCGGCTTCTGCCTGGGGCCGATATTCCCCATCGCGATGAACAACTCGGGCCGTATCCTGGCCCCTAGGTTCATCTCCGGCTCTGTCAGCTGGATGGCAAGCTCTGGCTCTACGAGTGAGGGCGGTGTTTCCATTCGTCACCGGGGAAATTTCGGCTGAAGCCAGTATCGACAGCTTACAACCTTCGTGAGTGCCGTCTTTCCGTGATGTACTGTTATTGATGATCGAGGGCTGACGCGAGCTTGCACAGGTTGTTCGCGATGACGAAAATGCTGCTTATCATTTGGACGTGTATCTCAAGTTATCGTATCACCCCCGCCTCAAGCGAACAGTCCAGGCGTGCTCTGTATGGCTGACGATAACGATTGATACGATGAGTTCGTTCACGGCTACCGTAGACGCCTTACACAAAGCATACACTTTACCTAAGATCACGCTCGTCGACCTTCAATGACTCTCCCGTCGAGACAAATTGCAGTCGAATAGTCGAGCTCAGTTTACAGCAGGTGTGTTCACATATCGCACGGGAAGCATTCCATCGAAGGTATCTCTAATTACACGCATGGTAGTTAAAGGGCAAGTCGAGACTTACGGTAAACAACCTGAGCGCACAAACCAACGTGCCCGCCTAACACGATAGGCTATCACAACAGCTTCCGCTTCCCGGGCTGACATGGTGATCGAGAGCAAGGCGCTCGCTCCATGGGCCCAAATTTTACTGTGCGTCCCCTGTGCACGCTCTGATACCAGGCTATACTCCAGCATCACTATGACATGCCGAATGTTCCTTTGCGACCCAGACTTGGGATGGCTATCTGTGGCGTCCTGAGGACCGGAACTCCGAGTGATGCCTTCCGGGCCGGAATTGCAGAACCCGCCTCGACTCCGGTTACGAAGCTGAAGACATAATAGACTATTACCTTTCTATACAAGCAGTGGGAACACACGCCCTGACTTGCAGTAAGATCGATGTCATGTGTGTGTCGGCAGTTCTGCAGGCCGCCGTCCCTCGGCTGGCGTACCTTATAAACTGTAGCCTCGAGCAAACTCTCTGCGTTCGGCGACCCCAACCCGACCAGCCCACGTTCCCTCGTGTTCAGCAACGACGATGGCTGTCCGTGCCGTCGTTGATGCCGGCCGTGACGAGAAAAGCCCTGCCTCGAGCAGGGCGTCTCCGACTCCGGAGGACTTGAAGGAAGCTGGTGATGTCGTACAGCTGCCGAAGCTTGGGAGCGGACCTATTTCGCAGGATGCTTCGCTAGAGCTGACCCCTCGCATGAAGCGCGATGCCATCCTCCAGTTCGCGACGCTTTGCTTCTCGATTTTCGTCTCTGGTTGGAACGACGGTACTCTGGGTCCCTTGCTCCCACGTCTTCAAGCTGTGTATCATGTACGTTCGGATTGACTCGCTCCGCTGCTGACGGCTGACACTCTTTGCCCCTTGATAGGTAGGGTATACGATTGTATCTCTTATATTCCTGATCAGTTGTCTGGTGAGCGTCCGGTAGATTTGACTATGGATAGAGTGCGAGCTGACCGAATCATCACTGCACACACAGGGTTCCATTGTGGGCTCCTGTACTTTTTTGTACTTGACTGATCGTTTTGGCTTTGGTGTTGTACGTCGCATAGTTCGGATGTTGATCATGCGCCATCCACTGACATACTCTCTTTGTTGTTGGAAAAGGTCATCGTCGTTGCCTCTATCTCCATGATGGTCGGCTACTGCCTGGAGGCTGCTGCTGTTCCCTTCCCTCTCTTCGTGATATCATACTTCTTCAACGGCTATGGTTCCGCTCATCTCGTAAGTCGAATGCTTCACGTTGACTGCACGCCATTGGGCGGATATTGAGTCTTCATTTGTAGAATGCTGGCACAAACGCCTTTCTCGCAAGTCTCAGCGTCGGAAAAGCCTCCACTAGGATGGGCATCCTCCATGCCAGCTATGGTCAGCGACCCTCTGCTATGTAAGTCAGGTATCACAGCTGACGTCTCGGTACGGTTTCAAGGTTTGGGTGCAATGACAGCCCCGCTTGTGTCGACGCAGTTCTCAGGGCTTTCCCGGTGGTCATTCGTCTATTTCACCCACCTCGGAATCGTGTTGACTGCCGCACTATTGCAGTCCGCTGTCTTCCGGTTTAGGTCACAAGAGCGTACGTACAGTCTCGTCCTGTCCCGGATGCTATTTTCTCATCAGCCAGCGCCGCTAGAGTGCTGGCAAGATATCGGACAACCTCCACCAGAGCAGGATTCGGATGGGTGGTTGGCACGATACAAAAAGGTGTTCCGCCTTCGTGCGGTACACCTCATGGCGCTTTTCGCCTTCATATACGTTGGGCATGAAGTCACTGTTGGTAGTAAGTTTCGGTGTTCTTCTATCAGTATTTTCGACATCCGATGAATGGTCACCGCAGGCTGGATCGTCACGTACATTATCAAGCAGCGCCATGGTGGACACAGCTCTGGCTACATTTCCTCGGGTTTCTTTGGAGGTACGTGACTAAACTATGCGTGATGTAGGAGGACTGACCGTTAGTTTAAAGGACTGATGCTTGGGCGCATCGCTCTGCTTCCCGTTAGCAAACTTGTACGTTCAGTCGGCTGTCTACTCTGACCTTTAACACCGGCTGAATGAGCACGTACTCCACAGGTCGGCGAAAGACGCGTTGTCTACGTCTACATCTGCTCAGTCATCGGGTCTGTGCATCTTCTCTCCGCGCTCGATACATTTGCCTTCCTCGCGATTGCTTCCTGACTGTGCTCTCCCATCAGACTCGAACTTATCGTCTGGCTCGTCCCTAACCTGTATTCAGGCGCAGTCTGTGTCTCGTTTGTCGGCTTCTTCTTGGGGCCCATCTTCCCCATACTCATGAATCACGCCGGACGCGTCCTCCCGCCCGACTGCATCTCCGGCGCCATCGGATGGGTCGGCAGTTGGGGCGCTGCCGGGGCCGCCGTCTTCCCTTTCATCACGGGGGCGATCGCGTCCAAGGCAGGGATCGGGGCTTTGCAGCCTGTGTACGTACGCACGTCAATCCTGATGGTGGCACTTACTGACATCAGAGTGCGATACATAGCTTGGTTGCGATGATGAGCCTGCTGTTCATCATATGGATTACTGTCCCTAGCAAGCGGGAGCAGCTCGCCTGAGGGACTGGTTCCTTCGGGATTGGTTCCTTTGGTCATGCAGTATGTACCTCTTATAGATGGTACGTCGTCGTCCCTTCACCCCAAACACAAATTCGAAGATTGATCCCTGTTCAGATTCACTCATGACACTCTAGATGGTTACCTTCATGACTCCATGCTTACGACCATATTCCTCCTTTCAGCTACAACATACATGCGTCATAGACACTATGCAACCGATCTCGCTGTCTGACAACACATCCTTCCGAGAGAAAATCCAATGACATGATAGCAGTGCGCGTTGGGGCACATGTCAGCTATGTATGTGCGTTAAATGTTCTAAAGCTCGAACAAGACGTTGCATACTTGGTTCAGCCCGCGAAGTACAACAACTCCCGAATCCAGTATGCTAACGCACTGTCGCGCAGCACTTTGAATCCCCAGGGATACTATTGAGTTCTGGAACATCCCTTTCCGGCCCCATCACGTACTTTGCTTTGCTACAGGGTTGAATGCACAACATAGTTTAGTGGATCTTCGTTGCCTAGATGTTGCATGTTGCATGCGTTGAAATCGAATATCCAGTGGATTGCGTGCACGCGGGACTCGTGTATCAGGAATCCCTGTCGCCCAATTCACCCGCAGGCTTCGTGCATGGGAAGACATCAACGACTTTATGCCTACGTACATAGTCGCGGATCCATGATCCTTCATCTCCATATTCTACGTCACATAACATCACCTACTTGCGACATTGACAGGCTTTCGTTTGTATGTAAATGCCTATCAATTAATGTTGTTGTGCTTCCCGCCTGCGGGAGCGTCGGTACCGTCCCTATCGGGTCCGAGCACGCGAAAAGGTCGGGATTGAGCTCTACACTGCATCGTTGGGAGTTGGGATGTTGACGACGTCACGGTATGGCGGTATGCCATACAGATCGTGCCTGATCAAAGGGCACATGGTCGCTGGTGGCGTTGTGTACGTCGAGCTGAGCGCGGCTGGGGTGACTCCCAGCGCCGCATACTCGTCTTCTACTAGTAACTCGAGCTAATCTTGACCTGCTGCTAGACTGAACACGTCACGCACTCTTCAGTCTACATCGCATGCGTACAAGATGACAAGTTATGCGCAGGGGTAAGCCTAGTAATGCTAGCCACCGTTCGCGACTGCAACTGAAGAGCCTGCAAGAAGCAATGAAGTTAACGTCCGCTTCATGAAATAAGGCTTGCCCGCTTCGACTCATCTGAGAGGCCTTCTGAGACAACAATCTCCGTGCTTCGTTGGTCATAATCAGCACCCATACAAGCACTCGTCCAAAGCCAGCACAAAGGCAGAAGGCTTCGTACAGGACCCGTCCGCTGGGATGCAGGAAATGACCGGGAGATCTCCGCAAGAGATACCATCACGATCGAGATCTCTGCTCAATAAAGGAACGTCCTGCTATGGATTAGCGCGCATCTCTCCGTGAATCTCATCTCCTCCCCGCCATCTTACACCCTCAAACTCTGTGCCAGCAAATGGGCGGTTCCCTCTGACTGGTAACGAGGGAAGAGGGCGAGGCCTTCGAACCGATATCTTTTCAGGTACGCCCCATAGGACATCAATGAGCTCAGAAGACACAGCGAGCCACATTTCAACCGAATGCGAGGAATGCGTCCATCCACAGTCAGGGCCGACCTATTGACGAAAGACGTGAGTAGATTTTACTGGACTACTACGGATCTGCACGCGCAACTGGCTCTCACTACAGTCTCCTGGAGACGGTGGCAATCACGCGAGCATACTCAACGTACACATGAATTTGTGCCCTTCGGTTTTCTAATGGCGGGCACGTATACCGATCACAAGCCCACACTCACCGGTGCTTGTGCTGCATGCTCTCGGCGAATCAGAATGCTCGTCATAGCGACGCTCACGCAGTACAGAGGCCGAGGGGCTGATCCCACTTGATCCCAATTTCAACCGCAGCCTTTGCTCACGGCCTCGCTACTCGCGCGACCACTTTCTCAGATCATCGTCTCACGCGCCCTAATAGCAGCACCAGGCAACGAGTATCGTCTGGCCTCGATATATCAATACCGATAGAGTCCGGTCCGCAAAGAGCGCCTTATTTCCCAGGTGCCGGTGTTAGCACTCCCGGTGACAATTTGGCAAACCGTGTTCGATGCTAGAACCCCGGACGTGTACTGAGTCCGACATCCATGCATGTATGCGTTCGACACCCTTGCAGGCCTGATGCACCGACGAGCTGACCACTTACCACACCATTCGCCTAGACCCACTGTTTGGACTTCATTCACACCGCACACACAAATGACATGCGGTCTGATTAACACCTTCTGCTGGAAGACAGCGCCAAGCGTGGTCGCCGGACTTGGCCAGCGGGTCAATTCGAGAGCCACGAGGCTGAAGTTTCTCAGATCCCTTCACACCTCGGAAGTCAGGAGAGGTCAATATTATGCTCTTCTCCAAATGCTCGCGCAACTGCACACCGCTCGTACCTGTTCCTGATGTCATCCCCCGTCGCGTAGCAGCATGTCGCTACGATCGGAAGTTCTGAGCGTGGCACCCCGACTATGTACATAAGCACTGTCGTGGTCGGATTACGTCCAATGCTACTCGCGCGCGCAAGTACATACCGACGCTGCCACGGAGCGTGGCCCGGCGCGTTCGCCATCGAGGCGACGTGCGCGGGTGCACATGGCTGCGGATAGCCTGAGCTTGTTGTGGGTCTTCCGCGTGGATATGGGAACCCGCGACGTCGTGCACGTCGGATGCCGACGCTCACGCCTCAGGCCTCAGGCTCCGGGCGTCGCGAACCGCGCTAGAGCGCAAGGGTCGAACGCGCAGCGCGCGGCCTGGGAGACTTCCGATCGCGAGTCCGAATCCGAAGGTCGTCGATGTTCAGCAGGCTCTCGAGCCAGAAGGTGCTTGCCGCTGCGCGTTCGTCTTCCCAGCTGGTCGAGTTCTCGGACTTGGATTTCGGAGGTCCTCCGGTCTTCGGGAGCCTGTCTGCCCACGCGAAACGATGGTCAGGAGAGGACGCGAGACGACCAAACAGCCCATGAGTAACGACAGCAGTGGACCTAAGTATTACACGGAGTATATCCTAGCGACTTCTACTTCTATCTATCCCTTGCACCATTAACGGTCTTTCCGCATGACAGCGACGAGTGTGTAAGCAGTTGGTATGTATATACACGCGATAGCGAGTGAGTGATTGAATGAGCGACGGCGCAGGGCGCGAAACGAGCGGTAGTGTCCAAGTGAATGAGTGCACGAGGCAGGTCTCGGGGATGGGATCCGAGGGAGCCTTCTGTGGAATCGGCGGCCAGGAGAAGCAGGGAGGAAGGGAAGGCAGGCGCAAGGACGATCAAATGCATCCCGCCAAGTCGCAGACGCAGGTCGGAGGAGAGCCGATGGTCAAGTCGAGCGCAGCGCGTCACGAGGGCCGGAGTCGATAGCGGAGAAGGGCAGCGTCGGATGAAGTCCGCGGGAACAAGCAAAGACGATCGAGGGCGCCTGCAGGCAATTTCCGATAGACGAGACAGACACCGAAAGAAAAAGGGAAGATCGCTTCTCAGCACACCACGGTCTCGAACGCACAGCCGACGAGGATAAGGGAAAAGAAAAAGCGCACTTTTTATACAGCAGCAGCAGAGCAAGAATGCAGCAACGATATACACGGTGACGATGACGAGCGTATGTGTTCAAGTTTGTCTGTGGGACTCCCGGTCAACTTCTTTTAGTTCGTTCGAGGCTAGGCAGCAGCGACGACGGTCTCGGTGGAGAGCAAGAGACGGTCGGCAGTATGAGGTAGTGAGAAGCGTGCAAGATGTGGGCTAGGGTCACAGGGTCTGTGTTTTCATCCCGGGGAATAAGATGTGGTGTGGGGTATGAGTGTGCGGTTCCGTAAGGTATGAAAGCTGTGGAGGTCGGAAGCTGTAATGTAGGAACCAAGCCAAGCTATGTGCGCGCCCGCCGCCCGTTCTATGCGCTGCATCACGCGATTGCCTCGATGCGCCGATGCAGAAGGATCGGCGCTGAGCAGAGGGGGACCAGTCGCCCGCCACGCGCTGTCCGCCCCAATCAGAGACGAAGAGCGACGTGAGGAGGACCCGCTCAGTATGGTGGACGCTTGAACTCAGCAGAGATCTCCGCGTCACCAGCCTCAGGGTCGGGCAGTCTCGTCTTCTGAGAGACGTCCTCAGAGTTGTAGTCCGACAGGTGGTCCTCATCAGCAACGGTAAAGGTCTGCATCTGAACGCGGGTAAGTTGCCACATCGGAATACCGACACATGTAGAAACACGTACCTGGACATGAACGCCAGAAGGTCCCTTCATCGGGGATACGGGAACCGTGCCGCGGGTGCCCGTGGGGGCAGCGCGGAAGCTGTGACCGGTGCTCGAGCTACTCGGACACAGCCCGGGTGAGCATTATGTGATGACAAGGCAGGACAACAATGACATACAAGACCTCAGCACCCCTCTGGGAGAAGTTGGTGAGACGGCGCACTGCACGGCAGGCGACGATCTAAGGACGACATCAACATCAATCGAACGTTATATAGCGGATGGTCACGTACTGTCGAGAAGATGGCAGCAGGAACGTTGAAGATGACACTCATGATAGCGTTCAAGTTCAGCATGATGAACACGACCGCCAGCAGGTTGGACAAGAAGCTGTGCGCGCGTCGAGTCAGCAGGAGCACCACTGATGAACGAAGCATGACGTACGCGATGAAGAAGTACATCAGACCGTCCTTGAACAGGAGGGTCATGAGCTGTGAGCGGCCGCCCTTGACGCCGACGACACACTTCCACAAACTGAGAAGCAGGATACCGAGGTCGAAGCACATGGAGTAAATGAATGTCGCGGCAAGGATGGTGTTCTTCGTGCCCGCAACGACGCAACCCTGACCGGGGACCCAGATGGCGGTGAGGAGGACGCCTTGGAGGATGAGAGACCAGTGTCCGAGGATGACGATGACGATCGGGATGACAATGCGCTTGTCATGCGACCACAGAGCCATACTATGCAATGCGGTTAACCTCCGAGAATATCAAATGCTGAAACAAATACTCACGTCCGGATGGACAGGTTAATGCTAGCCAGACCGGATGAGGCCTGGCCCATTATCTGGTTGAAGGTGTACAGAGCTTGACAGTTGACCTCACTGAATTGTCGGAGATCAGTACGGGACGGGAGACACGCATTGTCGACATGGGGCTTACACCGTAGTGTCCAAAGCGATCAAACTGGTATATTCATCAGTTGAGATTGATGTAAAGGACGCGGGGAATGACTTACATGCCGATCATCGTGAACAGCAAGCAGTACCGGTTCAGGAAGTAAAACAACTGCGGAGAAGTTCAGTATTTGCAGGGAAGGCGATGAAAAGCGAGACATACCGCGGGGTAATGGAAGCGCCTCTTGCCGGTGATGAAGGACCACTCAAACTCGAGGGAAGTTACGAACTCCCAGCTAGAATAGAGTCACGTCAATACGCGTCGATATGAACGGGTGTCGTCGAGGCTTAGTAGCTCACAAGTAAAGACCCGAGAGCGCGTGCATGAACTTGAGAAAGACAGCTAGGATAGAACAGGCGATGAGCGGGTGCCCGCGTCGTGAGAGGAATGTAAGACGTACTGCCATCGACGGCAAGCTCGGTGTTGGAGTGCCATTCGACCATGGTGACCTAGACGGATTTGAGGGAGGATGAGGGAACGAGGGTGAGATGAGCCTGGGCCAGGAGAGAAGATGCGGGGGCTGCTCTGAGGTGCATGGATGGAGTGGCGGGGGATATTAAACGGACAGGCGTTTGGGCTGGAATTAGCAAGGGGGGCCGAGACGGAGGATCGGTGGATCTGAGCAAATCTCACACCGGGGACGGTGTCAACTGCCTTCCAGCCACCTGCAGCCACCAGCCCACTCCAGCGAACATCAGACCGCGCTCTCACCCGCTTCTCCCAGGCGCCCGTTCTGCATCCCAGATTCAGTTGGTCACGCTTCGTCACATCCCCAAGCGACGCTCACCGGGTCCACCCCGTCTGGCCGCTCCTGCCAGATCAAGCTGTTCCTTTCAAATCCCATCGCCTCCCCGCCTGCCCTCCCACCGTCCTCCAAGCGAGGGACCTGAGCTGCCATCTGCGTGTCCGCATTTGCGCCCCAGCAACGGCATCGCAATCATGCCATACTCTGCAGTTGTCCGTTGCGCTTCACGGTTAACTTGGGCTAGCGAGGAACTCAAAACTTGCTTGAGCTGCAGGAAGCAACGCATCAGTCAACCTTCTCCACCACCAAGAAGACGGACTAATCACCCGCAGAGCACAACGCCGCGCTGCCCTTGTCCAAACCCAGCCGTACGTTTCTCCCCGTCGTCCTCCGCCACAACGAGTGTGGGTGGTGTGTATGTGCAAGTGCCACGACCGGTGTTCTCCGGCGTCGTCCGCGACGCCACCCCCCTCTCTAAGTCTCTTGCCCGATCTGGCAAGTCGTTGGCGGGGACCCACGCCTAGTGCTCACCTTGCGTTGAGAGAAGGACGGCTTACAGCATCGGCTGCTCTACTGGACGACGCTTATCGGACAGATTCCGGCAATCCCTCAAGTAAATTAATTAGGCACTCGGCGCGTCGATTGCGTCGCGACCCTTCACAGAAGACGGAATTCCGCCGAGCGCAGATTGAGCATATTCGTCTTCGCCAGGATGCAGCGTGGGCCAAGTTGCTCAGCAGCTTGCACCGTGAGACCTGCAACACGGTTCGCCCGCACAAACGCGTGCACGCCCCGCCCGTCGCCCCCAACTGAATTCTCCGCCTGAGACGCGGCCGGGCCAGAACTTCGCGAGTGCAAAGATTGCACGACGCCAGTGAATCCCATGCACGCGCTCCGATTCCGCGTCAACGCGTGTAGCGGCGTGCCAGATAGGCCGACTCCCGTCCTGTCCCCCTCCCCGCTTCTAACATCTGACTTCCGGACATATCGTCCAAACAGTCTCTCCACATCCCCATCCACTTGGCGTGCCGACCCAGTCGCCGCCTCCACGCTCCTTAGTATACTCCGATAGCCCAATCGTACACACACTCTCTTCTAAGTCTCGAGTCCTTCCTCGCTACCCCTCATCCCCCCACGTACGCGGCGTCACCACGAACATGGCATCCGATCTGCTGCCCTCCGCGTCCACCTTCGCCCTCTCCCTCGGGCTTGCCGCACTCCTCTACGTCGTGCGCTGGCTGTCCGACAGGCAGCGCTATGACCTCCACCGCGTGCCCAGCGCCGTAAGTCAAACACCCTTCCCGACTCTCGCCTTGGCCCCCTCCCTAGCCATCGTCCTTCCCAAACTTTGTTCCTTCGAACGAACGCTTTACGCGATGTACCCGCGCCAGATCGCGCTGACCCGTCCGAACCGCTTGCTGACTTTTCTCCCTTGACGCTGTTTATGTCACCCGCACCTTCGACTGGACGTTTCTGCTCTCCTCCCGCCGCCGCATGCGTGCGCCCCTGCCCGCGCCCACGCCGACCCGTCGCCCGACGACGCCGCCACCCGACGCCATCTGCAGCCCCGCGCACTGGCGCACTGGCTCTGGGGCCACGAGCTCCTGACGTTCCAGGGCGAGGCGACCGAGACGTACACCAAGTGGGCCGCGCTCGCGGGCCCGTTCTTCCGCGTCAAGGGCGCGCTCTTCCACCCCGACATCGTGAGTCCCCGCCCCGCTGCGGACTGAATGGCTGCGCTGCGTGTGTTTGTGCGCGCGTGGCGGCACTGCGGCTCGTCCGTGGCCGAATTCGGTGAAGGAGGGGGAACATCTCCCCCGCTTACTGTACCGACGTGAATATTGGCCCATGGCCACGGCTGTCGCGCGCACAGACGCCGAGCAGCCATTCGTCCATTGGTCGTTGTGTGTTTCGTACTCGGCGCTGACGTCTCGGTTGTTTTTTCCGCTGTCTTCCCATCCGTACGCAGATCGTGGCCGCCGACCACGGTGCCGTGCAGCACATCTTCCAGAACTGCGATGATTACGGTAAGTACACCCGTTCCTCTTCGTCCGTCGCCATCCGCGCAGGTGCCTCGCCCTCGGGGCGCGATGGTGAGCCTGTGGTGTCGGCATGTCCATATCCAGCTCGTCGACGCGCTTCCAGTCCACAGAAAGCGTAGACGGGGAACGGAAGCGAGGAGCGTCCGCACGTAAGCTGTGGGCGCTGGACGAAAACGTGTCCCCGGAGGTGTCGCGGGAACCGTTTCCGTTTCCCCTGTGCGCTATCGGCGGCGGCCCCTCGCACTAGACCTTGCTCTCAGCGAGGAGCCGTCGCTCGCCAGCGTGCATGGAAGTGTCGAGCTGGGCCCACGCACACACACCTTGCTGGGACGCAGAAGCCGAGCTCGGGCATCGCGTCCCCACGCCGTTCGTGTAGTTCACAAACAGTCGCTGACCTACCCGTTTGCCCTATGACGCACGCAGTCAAGTCCCCGGCGTTCCGCCCGCCCGTCGCGAACGTCCTCGGCAAGGGCCTCGTGTGGGCCGAGGGCGACGACCACAAGACGCAGCGCCGCATCATCGCGCCGGCCTTCTCGTAAGTCCCTCTGCCTTCCTTTTCTGCGCGCCGCCTTCCCTTCTACTCCAGTTGCGTAGTCAAAAATTTTTGCATTACCACACCGTACGGCACGTCTTGGGAGTCTCAGCCTAGGCGAGCGGGGATTCCCAGCTTGCCCCATGGTGACGGCTTTTCTCACCGCCGTCGTGCATCACTGACCTGGCGCGCTGTGTGTGCCTGCTCTTCCTGTTCTCGAAGCTCTCGCCTTCTCAGAGAGGAGCCGTTGGGCTTTCTGTACGCGCGATGCGCGTTCGCCGGAGGAACATAACCTGCCGTGTACGAGAAGTGCAATGTGTTAACCCCAGGCCAGGGCGCACTAGGTGTGCATCACTCGGCGCGTCCCAGTGGTGCGCAAACAGAGGGTGCAAACATAGAAAGACGGTGTCGAGAGTGACGTGCTGACTTGGCTTGTTCCGCACAGGTCGGAGGCCATCAAGGGCATGGCCGACGACGTTTCAGAGTGCTCCGAAAAGGCAAGTTGTTTACTGCTTTTGGTGTTGCAGGTCCGCCGTAGACTAACTGATGCTCCGCTCGCGCACCCGTGCCATCTGTCCTCGTGCGGTGGCATACCCTTCTTCCGACGCTTCTTCGGTGGTTCCTCGTCCTCGGGGTGATCTGGGCCGGTACGATGCGATGGACACAGCTCGAGAGCAGGCTGACGAACCACATCCTCGCTGCTGGCGGAGCCGCCACTGTGAACATGATCGAGTACGCTTCGACGTGCACGTAAGTCAGACCTTCCTCGCGTTCCGTTCGAGACCGCAGCAAGCTGACGGCTCCGAACCCTGCGCTTCCCACACTCGTCATGGTCACGCGATGCCGCCTCGGACAGCCTCGACATCATCGGCCGCGTCGCGTTCGGGCACGACTTCAAGGCGGGCCAGTCCACCGAGGCGCAGGAGATCCACGCCTCGTGGGAGGGCCACGTGAACACCGGGCTCGGCTTCGGAGGGTTCGTCGCGATGCTCGTGATGCGCGCCGTGCCGTTCATCACCCTGCTGCTCACGAAGCTCCCCGTGGAGGCGATCCGCGCGGGCGGGCGCATCCGCGAGATCACGACGAAGCTCGCGATGCGCCTGCTCGAGAGCGGGAACGTGAGCGAGAAGGGCAGGGACATCATGAGCATCCTCGTCAAGGCCGAGAGGGAGTCGGGCGCCAAGGGCGGGAAGCGGGGCTTGACGCCGCAGCAGATTGTCGACAACGTAAGTGTGTGTTGGGGTTGGTGTTGAGAGACGATGCTGATGGGATGGGATGCGTTTAGGTGAACACCTTCATCATGGTGGGCCACGAGACGACTGCGGGCTCGCTCGCGTTCACGCTCCTTGAGCTCGCGAAGAACCCGGCCGTTCAGCAGCGGCTCCGCGACGAGATTCGCACCGTCGGGCGGGACCTCAGCTACGATGACATCCAGCGCCTTGAGTACCTCGACGCTGTCGTCAAGGAAGGGTGCGTGCCGCATGGTTCTCCATCTCCTTCCGTGCTCACTCACAGTTTCCATCAGCCTTCGCCTGCACCCCGCCTCCCCACAGACCGAGCGCGTCGCCCTCCGCGACGACGTCATCCCCCTCTCCAAGCCGCTCACCACGCCCTCCGGCGAGACGCTCTCGTCGGTCCGCGTCCGCGCCGGCCAGGTCTTCCACATCCCCTTCACCACCATGCACGTCAACCCCGCGGTCTGGGGCCCCACGGCGACAAAGTTCGACCCTTCGCGCTGGCTCACCCCCGGGGGCGTCCCGCCCCCCAGCGAGCTCCCGCACGGCTGGAGCGGGCTCGTCACGTTCTGCGACGGGCCGCGCAACTGCATCGGGTACCGCCTGGCGGTGTTCGAGTTCAAGGTCATCCTCGCGACGCTCCTGCGCTCGCTCGAGTTCCACGAGACGACGGCGGTCGTGCGCGCGAAGATCTCCCCGACGCTCCAGCCCGTCGTGGACGGCCGCGGCGGGCTGCTCCCGCTGCACGTCACGCTCGCCCAGTGAGCTGGATGTACGACGCCAGCCTCTTTGTGACTGGGATGACTCGCCATGGATGCTTTCATAGGGCGTGCCTCGCGGTAGTCACGCCGTGCAGTCAAAATCCCTCTTTTACTCTCCCCCACTTCACCTGAATCCGACCAAATTCGGTCCTTAGCTCTCGATCCCACTTGATTTTGCTCTCCCCATCGTGGATAGTACTTTGGTATGATTATCTGCTACCAGTATCCAGCGTACGTTAGGAGCAGGGCCCCGGTGGCAGCGCGGGGTGTGGATAATTTTTGGACGCTTTGTCTGCGGAGGAAGTGCGGTGTTACAGTACGCTTCGCGGTAGTTTGTTTCAGGCAGCATTCGTTGGGCTGTTGGGCCGCAGAGGGGTGAGATACGTTGATAGCTTGGAGAAGTGCAATAAAGTTTAGAATTTTCTTCGTCTACATTATCCAGTCATCTGCAGGTTGCGCTACCAACGTGTCTTGACGACTTCGAATCTGACTTCAACATACGGTCTTATAAGCAGAAGACGCTCTACCTCAAGGTTCATATTTTGACGAGCAACGAACATGCGCGGGAGCACTTGTCGCAGGGTATGTCAGCGCAACAGGGAGCTCCCCGAGCGTTCTACAACTCCTGCCATATCCGTCCATGCACAAAGGGACGTCCGAATCCGGCAAGAGACGTTCGCACACCTCCGCATGCTTCTCCGGCGTCTGCGCGTTCTACATCCTGCGACTACCTCAGCTTCCTCGACTTCTTGCGCTTCTTCTTCCGATATGCTAGGACATTAGGTGCTTCTTGCATGGTGACTTTCTTGACATGCCCTGGCTAATTTGGACCAGTGCGCAGCATGCACGGGCCCTGAGTACATTGCCGTCATGTATTGAACCATGCCCTGAAAGCTCCCCGCTGGCCGCTAGCGGGTGCAGATCTCGCCGCGTCGAGTTCAGGGACTGCGCGGCAAGGAGGAGCGCACGCGTGGCCGCCTCGGTCTCCGAGCGGGTAAGTAGAAGCGTAAAGGTGTGCAGAGGTAGGATTGGCTGTAAGTCCGCCTGGCTGGCAGAGTCCAGGCCTACTGTGGCCTCGTCTCTGGCCATGACATAGGGTTACCTACTGTTGTCCGGATTTAGAGCGCGGGAAAGCATGTCGGGGATCAACTCATCTTCCGGTTCCGGATAGCACTTCCAGGGTCCTCGAGGCATGGACACTGGCCGCAACATACGCATCCCTGCAGCTTCCGTGTCATGGCGGGACAGCAGCGTGCCAGACTGTCAATGTCCGGAGACTTTAGCTTATTCATGACCCTCGTAATCACCGACGTCGAGCGTCGGACTAGGCTAATCTGCAGCATTACCGGAGGTAGGTGTGGACGTGCTGGAGGGAAGTCACGCGTTGGGCCAGGTGCGCGCGATTAACGTCTAGTCCGACCGTCGACGATAGCCAGGGCTCGCGTATCAATATCATTGGTGGAGTGCGGGGAATCACATCAGCAAACTTCAAGCTTCAGACTGCGAATCCAGACCCTTTCTCGCCCTCTGGCACATCCACATAGGAGCAATTGCGCAGCTATGTCTCCACTCATTAACGGACATCCAGCACGCATGCATCAAAATACGCCGGCCTGACACGGACCAAGACTATGGATTTGTGCATAAGTACACACACTTAACGGGTTGTGATGGCTGGGAAGTGCGGATCGCGGTTCCCGCCTCTGGATCTGGGGAGAATCGCGCTGTGCAGCGCAATTTGCTGAACAGCTTGCCCATAACCGACGGCAGAGCCCATCACCGATGATGGCGGGCAGTGCGCCCGTCCCCTGCGCCGGAATTTGCGTGTTCGCGGCTCGGCCCATACAGACGCACGATGCTACTCCGACGTCGCGTCCATGGACCGGCTGACGGCTGACGAGAGCAGAGTGCCGCTCAAGGGATCCCGGTGGGTACAGACCACGTCGCGGCTAGTTTCCTGTTGGATCTTGCTGTCAGTCTCGTCACGATTCCGAACTTGCGAGCGTCATACAGGTCGGAGGAAGAGAGGCGCATCAAACCTCGTATACACTCTGATCTTGCAATCTCTGACTACCCAGCGCCTTCCCAGGTTGTCGTCCTGTTGAACGACCACTTGTAAGGTGAGCATGTAGCCTCGACCTAGAAGCCTTTCTGCTCCTCAAGCCAATTTCGAAGGTCACGCGTGCTGTTGGCGCACCCGACCTGTATTCGAATAGCGTTAGCATAAGCTATCATCGAAGGACTTCGAATCCCACGATGCATCAACAAGCCCGAACCGCCGCGTAGTACTTATGTGACGTTGTCTCGTCTCTTCCCATGGCCGTCGAGACCTCCGAAGACAGCTGATGTAAAAACCAGCGTCGCGTTTCCCCCAGGCCTCCCTGTGCTCGGATCAGCGGCGGCCTCCTGCCGAGCCCCGCAAGCAAGCGCTCCGGCCACCTCCCAGTCGGGGGACAAGCTCGTCGTGACTGCGCGAAGTGTGCCCCGCCTCATGCTACGTGGCTTTCAGAGCTACAGGACACACAATATTCTGCGTGGAATGCTTCCCGCGAAGATCCCCGCTGTGTGCAGGTGCTTCCAGCAGTGCACCACAGTCGGGCAATGTCCGCGGTATGGTATAGCTGGCGCTCGGCCGGGGTTATCCGGTGATCCGAGCATATCCCTGGGCGCGGGGACTGCGACGCTGGTTTTTACATCAGCTGGAATTTGTGCTGCGAACTGTCACCCGCCCGATGGCGAGGAGGCGCCCATGTCAGGGTCGGGAGCGAGAACACGTAAACGGCCTGCCTCGAGACGGGACGAATGTGATCCCAGCGCGTGTTCTTCGTCCGGCCCAGCCTTCTCGTCGTCCGCGTAGGTCGTAAGATACGCGGAAGCAAGGCGCAGCTCGCTGCGGGACATCGGGGGCGCGACGACGATAGCGCGTGTGATGGGATGGACGTTCCGTAGAGTGCTCTGCAAAGTCGAATTTGAAAGAGCCGTGCGTACGATGTGAAGGGAAGGATTTTCGATGCACAGGCGGCAGACTCTGGAGCGCGGCCGTCGAGCGCCACTGAGGCGCATAACTGATCGATGGAGTCAGCACCGATAGACGCAATAGGGACAAGTACAGACTGGTGTCCAAGTTCGATTTCGAGTCCGCTGTGAACAAGCATTCCGCGGTAGGTTCCAGAGCGGCGCGCCTTGTAGGAGGAGTCTTCTCAACGTTCTTCCAATATTGGTGTGCGTACTGTATTACGGTGGCGTCAATCCTACCGCTCATGATGTAGCGATCCCCAGTACGAAGGTCGAGATGAACTAAATGAAGGACTATACGTTAGCGATATACGCGCTGTGCGTTCACTTGCAGACCTATAGGGCGGACTCACGTCTGTTGCGCCATGTGCCTTATTGAAAAGCCGAAGCCGAAGACGTGCATGTTACGATATGTTTGATAGAACGAAACCGTAGAAAGAAAAAATACCGATGGAACTGGTGTGTCCCGGGAAGATGACCTTAATTCGCCGATTTGCTGACAGTGCGGCCAGAGACGGCCCTGGTCAATGGCTTTGAAGAATCATTCTGCCGGTGGGCCCCATAACGTGAGTCTTCCAGCAGTATGGCGCCGAAGCGTCTCGCCTCATCTACGTGTCGGAATGTGTGTTGTGCGGAGCTCCCCGACTGTCGCTTACTGGCGCGTCCAAGCCCCTCCGCAGTCCGAATTTCTCTAATTCTGTCATCAAAACATCACTGAAAGGTCTACTGACACTTGCCAACTCGGAACGAGTGCCCGAGGCCTTCTGCCAGTAAGTACACAGGAGTTGTTGCTGAAAAGTTTGAGCGTTTGCCACAGGGCTAATTGCTGGCGGCCATCATGGTACACACTGCGGCGGCGCCACACACGGTGCACACATGTTGGAAATCTGATGTTCCGATGATACCGTTGCCTCTGGTTTTGCTTGAAGATTGATTGGAGTTGGCGGGACAAGTCCGATCAGTAGGTAGGAGGATATCATGACGGTGACGCGAACTGCACCGCTTGTTTGCCCTGACGTCCAGCCGGCAACCCAGCCCACACCACCAACTTGACGGGAAGTTCAAAACATCGGTAGCTTCGCCCGTCGCGAACCCTGAAGCGACGTCCAGATGGAGCAGCGTCTGTCAACGTCGCTGTCGGTGATTAACGCGTCTCCAGCGCCAGAAGCCGCCCGTCAGCCCAGCCAGCGGTCGGCGGAGACAGCCCCAGACCCAAAGCGGGCGCGACGCCGGGGAACGTGCGGCTACGAAGCATCTGCGCATCGGCTTGCTGACAGAAGGTACGCATCACCGTCGTCTGCGCGTATCCTGGACACTCACCGACGCTCTGTGCCAGCACACAGATAGCCTGAGCCCTGTTGTTCCCCGACTCGCCGATCCGCGGCACACTTAAGTTGTGGGCGCGAGTGTACGTCCGCACCATCACCGTCTCCCGTCACGGCGAGCTGTCCATCGGTGGCGTCGACCGTCGACCGACTGCCGACGTCCACAGCGCAGGGCGGCAAGGTCGTCGGCGGACAACTCAGGACACGCTGCTCCCCGAATGGGCCACGGCAGCAGCGATGTTTACGGCCGATGCCGTCAACATGTGCCTGCATCAAGTATGGACTGGGGTTAGTGTCTCCTACTCAGTGGCGAGCCGCACAGTACTTGCTCCCCGCGTGTCCGAGCCAAGACAGCTACGAACCTGCTTTGCGCACGCAGCACCGAAAGGAGGGACCGAGTGGTCAGACCTACTGCTCACGCGCAAAGATAGCCACCAGCACGGACCTTGGGGGAGGGTCGACCCGTCAATGGATCCGCAGCCATCCTCGCGATCGTTCTGGTCCCCCCCTCCCCGCACGATGATGACGCTCGCCCCAACAATCCCAATGTTCGGCACACGTCGCTGTTGCCCGCCGGCATGGATGACAGGCACCCCCGCAATTTTCGCCGCTTCGGATTCCCTTGTTCGCCCGCCAGCTTTGAAGAAGGGAGGGGGGGGGGGTTCATGAGTGCTCGGATATGCAGCTCCACCGAACGTCCCGCGTGCTCTGATTCCTCTGCTGCAGTCCCGACGCGGTCTGCACCCCGCGAATCTAGTACTTACCGAGCAGACGTTCAGCGGAGTACGCTCAAGGTTCGGACATGAGCGGGCGCAAGGCGGCGGTCAGTACAGAACTTCTCGGGGAGCACTTACGGGGGGTTTCTAGACGCGACGGCGTGCAATCGTGCGGATGCCAGACCTTGCGCTGAAGGAGCCGGGAAGGGCAATTTGAAGGTGCAAGTTCGGCCTGCAGACTTTTCTTGGAAGCTTGTTCGGCCTGGGCTGGCAGCTTGAGAGCTGGAAGCACTCAGCGTTCGGGCGTCCTTCAAGTTTCCGAAGGCGCTAGATTTATGGCGTTTACGATGCTAGAGGTTTCTGATGTTAGCGGGCGCGCAATGCGCCACAAAGGACACTGCTTTGCGCAAGTGGTGTTCGAGTGGGTCGAGACTTGGATGCTACCGTCCGTACAAACGTTGCAAGCTGTCCGTCGTCGTTCAAATCTGAGTTCAGGTTGTTTTGCACTCAGACACATGTAAGCTAATTTTGTAGTTATCAGACCCGATTACAGTGATTTGCAAAAAACATTGCAGGTCGCGCGCGTGGGGAAGGTTATTTGTTCCTATTTGGCATTCCCGGGGAGCGCTTGTCCGGGAGGGAAGGGCTCAACATTCTCTGTACCTATATTCATTTGGATGAGATACAGTACGAGGAGAAGTGTAGACACATAACTTCCAGTTTGTTCCGAAGCAGCCATGGGATTGCCAACTAAGGCATCGTCTCAACGGCTAGCATATCCCTGAGCGCCCAGTGCCCGAAACAGAAGTTCGTGCAGTAGCCGCCCGGGAACAAACACCGGCAAACAGCTCGTCGCGCGGATGCGACCTGCAGTGTTTTTTGCAAATCACTAGTCTCGTGACCAGACGTTCGGAGCTTGAATCGGATGCGAAAAACCGGGGGCATCCGAGCTTCAGGAGCTCGGATGCCCCCGGTTTTTCGCATCCGATTCAAGCTCCGAACGTCTGGTCACGAGACTAGCAAATCACTGTAGTATGATGAGTTCGAACTTAGATACGCACGCAGATCGCGATCAAGAGATCGGATCCCGGCCGGCCGGTGGCATGTGACAGCTTCAACGAAACGATCGCCTTGAGCAAGAAAGAAGACTCTCCCCCGCCGTATGTATTCCTTACGAAGCGTCTAGACAACTTGGAGTCTGACTATCTTGGCTGAAGAGCACGATCGGTTGTAGGTGCACTTTATGGCATCGATCCTTCTCTACGAGATCACCATTCTGTTCGGAAGGTCTACTTGTGGAAGCCACGCAATTAACAAGAGCTCCTCACCGCGCTCAAATTCACACTTCCCACAGCGCGCAAATTGAACCTTGTTATGTTGGAGATCGTCCTGCCATACCGAGACGACCCGCGGAGAGATCCGGCTCGACGCCGGTCACCAGGCAGCGGAAAGAGGTGGAGGAGGTTCGATATGCACGACGCCCATGTCGCGCTCGACGTTGCAGACATCGACATCGCCGGCCGTACGTCCGGGCATTCGTCCCGCGACAGGCTGATCTCCGCGCAAAGCTCGAAGCCCCGTCGACGAATCTGGCCGTGCAGACGCGCTCCTCGGGCCTGCGAATCCAGGGCGATCGCCTTCGCTCCCTGGGTCGCGCTTCGCCCGGACGAGCCCGCACCTTCGCCGCTGCTCAGAAACGCGAAGGGGCTGCAGGGCTTCGCGCTAGAAGGCGCGACGCGGGGAGAGGGTCGCGCGGGGTCTGGAAGGCAGCAAGTGCGGGGAGGAGGAAGGGGCACTCTCGCTGTGGCAACGCGCCTTCTCTCGAAGCCGAGCCCCACCGTGCTGTAGCGAACAGGGCGACCGGGCTCCTGCCTTGTACGGCTAGATGGCGGCTCGGGATGTTCCAGATGTAGAGGGGAACTGGGACGGGGGAAGGAGGAAGCTGAGTTGGTGTTTGCGTCGCCGGCCGTCCGGGGCTCGGTGGCCGTCCGGGGCTCGGTGGCCGTCCGGTGCAACCAACGCTGGAAGCGGCATCCAGGATCCACTGGCGAAGATCGGCTGGCGCCCATCCGCGGCCAAGACGTCTTCTGTTTGTCCGGACAGTGGCAGCGAGTGCGCTCTCCTGCACTCTGCATCCGCCCAGAGTTCTTCAAGTTCGCACACTACGCTCGGCCTCATATATCTCCCTCCCTTCCTCGCCTCGAGCCCCTCCAGCAAGCGCGTCAACCGTTCCTCCGCACAAGACGCAGACGCTAGCCCGTCTGCCACTGTCATTCGCGACTTGGAGTCCCCGCCTCCGCGTTCACCTTGACCCTCCTTCTTGCCGCCTTTGCCTCTAGGTCAGGCTCTCTTTCAGGGTCTCGTGTTCCGCGACACGTCCGTTGTGGTCGAGTGCTAGTCTGCTGACCCGCGCCACAGCTAGCGTGATCTCCAAGATGGTCAACTGGAAATCGTCCGAGGAGATTGCAAAGGATGGAGGTACGGCGTTACTCCTCGTGCACCGACATACCACAAGCGCCGCAGCTCATCTGCCTCGTGTTCGCTTTTCTCTCACAGAGTCGTTCGACAGGTTCATGCACACCCTCCTCGGGCTCTATATGTAAGTCCTCCTCGGCGCTCCGACTTGCTCTGTTGGCCTTGCTCACGCGCAAGTGACCTCGCACACGGGAACGCAGCTGGGAATTCGTCACGTCCCTTCCGTTCGACTGGCAGTACCTCAGCGGGCAGAGAAAGTTCAAGTGGCCTTTGGTGCGTGCGCTGAGAAGCGCGAACCTCGCGAACAGGCCTCGGCTAACGTCTTCAATTCCCCGCAGGTCTTCTACTTCGCAGGTCGCTACTTCCTGCTTTTCGCCTTGATTGGCATGTACGTTCTCACCCGTCGCCGGCTACTAAGTGTCTGCGCTCGCGACTGACTCGCCATCTATATGCGTGTCCTGAAGAGCTATCGCCTTGAATGTTACGACGTGTGTTTGGTCTTGTCTAAAGTGTCGGCGGGCGCGCGGACGCTGATGACTTGTGTCTCCAGGCCGGTCAATTGTCAAGCGCTCTACACGTACAACCAGATCTTCGGGAATGCGTCTATTGGACTTGCTAGCATCAACCTTTCCCTTCGCACGTGAGACCCACTTGGACATCGATCGGGTTAAAGTAACCCGGCTAACTACTTCTCCATTTCAGAATGGCGGTTTGGTCGCAGGCATGGCAAATCGTCGTACTTCTCGTCGGAGTCATACTGGGACATTGGGCATTGTTGCTGCACGGTAAGTCTTCTAGCAAAGAAGTTGTGTCACTTGCCATGGTCACCGACTGACGATGGTGACGAAGGTGTTCTTTTGAAGGCCGCTTGGATACCCGGAACAGGCTGTGCCATTACCTATACAAGCAACAAAATTCTGGCCGCGACGTTCATTTACACGATGTGTTTCGATTTCACTGTTCTCGCTCTGACGGGGTGGAAGCTGGGCGTGGGGAGCAGCTCACGTCGGGACCGGTCTAAGATTGTGAAGCTTATCTTCGAGGACGGGCTGATCTACTTCATGGTCGCGTGGGTCTTCGCGCTGCTTCATGAATGATTGGTCGTCGAGCGCTGATGTTCATATCTAACAGTTTTGTAGCCAACGCGATTGCAACTGTAAATTGCAGCTCCTTCTCGATTTTGGTCTCTTCATACTGATTTCTTTTAGACTTTTATGATACTCAATCTGAACGCGGTGATGTCGATCATCGCGAACGTTCCCGCAGCAATCGCGTCCAATGTGAGTTACGCCATATCTTAGGAGAAGCTAAAATTCAGGAGGTCCTTAGATTGTCGCTTGTCGTGTTGTGCGGCGGTTGACTAACTATACCTCTGAAGGTGCGGAAGTGTTTGGGTACGTTTATTATTGCCTTTGTACCCTGTACTGTATTGATGAAGTGCTGTTTGTACGCCTAGAACCACTCAAGCTTCGACACTCGCATTCAGTGGTCCTGGTAGTCGCTACACAACTCGTGGCATTGTCTCTTTTAGTGAAAAGAAGGAGAACCTCCAGCTCCAGGTAGGTCGACGTCGTCAAGATATATTGCGATCAACATAGGCTGAGTCTTCGTAGATGGACACATTCCAGGCGGCTCCGGGAGAGATCTCTCCCTCAGACCTTGAGTCTGTCCGGTACGATGCGGCTGGTCGTCTCATGAGGATGGGGGACAACGACAGCACTACGGACGTGGAGGCGTCGCCCATCGAAGAATTCAAGCGGCCGAACTTGCAATAACTGTACACCATCGCCCACATGCTTTCTTGCGTCTTCTTCCTTTACAATCCAGGTTCATGTTGTCGCTGCACCGCTCTCGCAGATTCCTTTGCATCACCACCGTTATTCCTCTCGTTCTCCTTTTGACCTCGCTCGGTATTTGGACACGCTCGTTGACTATCTGGCTGGCACCCGCGCTTGTGCGATTCCGTCGGAAACCTCAGGCGGTAGCAGACTGTGTTCGGCTCTCTGGTCTCCGCTTCAGGTCAATGCTTGTCGCCCATGCATTCCAATCGGCTCCAACCTTCCCTTCGACGATCGCTGTCGTATATCCACGCCACGATGCCGTCCACACTCGTTTGCTCCGTCCCCCCCGTCGTAGCCACACCTTGCCCCCGATGTCCTCACCCACCGTCTCGTCAGCTCCGAGCTCCGATAGCAGCCCGTTGGTCCCCAGCGCTCGATCGTCGGCCGCACTTGGACCGACTTCCCGGCCTTCGATATCTGTTATCAGCACATCGGAGGGACTTCTCCGACTTCACCGAGCGTCCGCATCGCTCTTACATCGGCTGCCTGCGACCGAGGAGGACGCACAACTTCGATATCCGTTCATTTCCCAGCAGTTGCCAACGATTGCGGATGCGCGCAGTTCACCCGCCGGATTATGCTTCCACACACTCCTCATCTCCGCAACCATTTCCGCAACCACCCCCGCATGGGCTGGCCACGTCTATCCCGCTGACGTGTTTCTGCTCTTCATGCATGTCCCTGGCATTCATGTATGTATCTCACTATGCGCCATGCTCCCTCGTCGGACATCCGCTCGCTTTCATATCACTTTGGCCTACACCGGGTCTTTCAGTACGACACTTGCTTGCAACATTCTCACATTGATGTTCTCGGCATTCCTTCCGAGTCTCGAATGTGGATAGACATGTATGCAGGCTTCCACTCCTTATGGTCGTCTTGATGGACTTGTTGCCCCTCCCCGCCACTGTACAATCCCCACGTCCCCCTTTTGTCTCAGCCCCCTGAAAACACCCATACCAGCTTCAGTTCCGTCGGTCGAGTGTGGTTCGGACGTTCGAAGAAGTAGTAGAAGTAGCGAAAAGTAATGTATCACCACCCCATACGCAAGCACTGTATTGTCTTGTTGCAAGTATACCCCATACATAGATGGTCTTCCGCTTCGCTTCGTGCTGTCGAACGCTGTCGCGCTGTTCTCCGCTGTCGCTGTTCAGTGTACGTTACCGCATCCGAAGTCATAACATCGTCATGTGTTCGTCGGTGTGTTTGGCCGTACTCCAGCCGCGGGCTCTCTGCTCGCGTCTGTACCCGCTCTGCATCCCAGCTTTCCGCGCTTGGCGACAATGCGCCCACATGATTGCACTCATACTCGACTGTGTTCTAGTATTCTCCTTGTGGAACTTGCCGCGAAGCAACCGTCAGCGCTGAGGTTTGTGGGACGCTGGGGAGTCGAAGCATGGCGCAACGCGCTTGCAGAGTAGACGGTGGAGTTTACTGTCGAACAGTGGTCCGAACCTGTCTATCACGTCAAGCATGCACTTCGCCGACCGGGAACGAGAAGAGAGGGAGCCGGACAGGGCATCAGACGAGGTCGTAGCAAGCTTGGGCAGCTGGACGCTTTCCCGGGTTCGCGCGCGCGCGCGCATGCCACGCACGCTCCCGATGGGAAGCCTGTGCGACGCTGCGCCTCGGGTGGGATCCGTCGCGGCTGGCTTTCGCGAGCCTATCCGACAGTACTGAGGCTCGAGCACTGGCATCTCTGGCACTCTGTGTGTCGCGCGCGTGTGCTCGGGAGCGAGCGATGGCGTAGTGCGCGCGGATCCGCGGAGGTACACTAGCACTTTCAGGTGTGTGGATCGTAGAGCGTGCTCAGAGCGGTAGGACGCCGACGGTCCGCGTCAGCTGCGATAGCTCCGTTTCCCAGAGCTCATCTCTGTAAGTACTCGGGGATGTGCGGAAGGGTTCTTCGCTCTTCACAGAAGGCACACCGGGCGCGAGTGCGTACAAAGTCAGTTTGCGGGCGGGCGCGGGGAGATCGTCTCGCGTCAACGACGTCGACTCGGATCGTGCGTGCGCAGAGAGACCGTCTGCAGAGGGCTCCGATCGGAAGGCGCGCCGCATGTGTGCTCCAACGACCAGCAGAACGAGAACGGATATCCCGGGATCGTTGGTCGTCGTCAGGCCCGCGGATGCAAGGATCACAAGGGGGCAACTTCTGTCCCGCAGACGCGCCCTGACAGTTTTCCAGGACGCACCACGAGCGCAGGCCGGGTGTTGAGCGCGGCGAGCGAGCGAGCGAGCGAGCGGCGTACGGCAGAATAGCATCGCAAGAACCACCGTCCGGGTTTTGCCAACCCAGCAAACTTTCCTGCGGGTCGGGTCCCCGGATCATCATCCACTGAACAGACGTCCCCGGGGGTGTTCTGATGTCATGGCGCGCGTACGCAAGGTCAGGTCCCGGATGCTCGAGGGCGTGGCGCGAAGGGAAGAGGAAGAGGAAGAAGAAGTGCTGCCGGGGCTGCTCCTCCTGTGGACGCAGCTGGAGCATGGAAGACGCGGGGAGACGGATCGGGCTGGGGGCTTGTTCCGCATCGGGAAGCGCTCTTTGCATCATGCATGGGAGTTTATCATTGTCTGCAGAGGACGGCAGGCGAAGGAAACAGGATACTGTACAGTCTTACCCGGGTCCTTTGCCAGCCACCATGGGTCCTTTGGCCACTGAAGGATTTTCCGTCCCCGCAGTACAATCTCAACCCCTACGGGTCAATTCAGTCAAGTAGATAATGGTTTCGTGTATGTTATCCCATAGTTTCGTAGCCTTTTCTGTTCAAACACATTACAAGACTATGTTTTAGTCCAGAACACTGCTGTTTTGAATTATATTCCAGTGATCGCGGCTAACGTATTGCTCCGATAACTTCCATAGTTTCAGGAAATGTGAATAGGATATATCTAGCTTGTTTGAGACAAAGAACACACTCTTATCGACATGCACTTCCCAGAGATATCAAATCAGTTCTCATCAACGGGCCATATGAGATGCTATTAATCGGGCGCCGAGTCACACATTTCAGCGCTCCTCTGCTTTGCGTGCATCGAACATTGCCTGATAAGATGACCTATTATCCATATAAAGTAATCACACTGATCTGTGACACTGGCCAAAGGACCCAGGACCGACTGATAAGGAGATTCGAACTCGAGCCAAAACTCGACAAAACAGAGTATGGCATCCCTACAAGAAGATCTTGGGGAAATATGTGTCACGAACCGCCCTCACGGCGCTATGTTTCCTTTTCGATTCGGACCACTGCCTCGTACGTTTCCTTATTGTTCACTACTCGCTACAGTTTCCCTTTGTCCACACACGGACAATAGCTCCCTTTGTTCCCACGTCCGCTATTGTCCTACACCCCTTGTACTCCGTACCCATGGCGACGCTATTGTTCTCTAGCGCCCATTGTTCGTTCCCTGTATATAGCTGGATCCTTTGCTACCTGGAGACTCTAGTTTCGACCTCTTGTCTCCAGGTAAGCCATCGTGTATTTCGCTCTGTAGATACCTCGCTCAATACACAACTTGTCTCCAG